CGACTGATTAATTTAACAAGAACTTTTTTACGTGAAATTTAATATCTATCCGGCACCCAAAACACTTACATTTTATTCAAGTGTAATGATATTTCTATGATATGTAAATATATATCATGGTTTTAAAAATAAACTTCCCATTAACGCCTTATACACACTATCTCTCTCAGTTTGAACCAATGAGATTCCAACTAAACGTCAACTGTAGAATTTCACCGGCAGGTATTTATTTATCAGACAACCATTGGAACCTAGTGAGGATGAAGACAGGTGAACACAAAAACAGTGCTGGTCTCAAACGAACGGAAAGTGTATACACGACAAAGAAACATAGTGTGAATTAATCTATGATAGAGACAAGTTTAAAATAGTTTGTGGGACTTAACAATTGTCAATTGTCCGACAGGGTATTTATGGTGTGCAAATTCAGGCTAATTTCATTATAAATCAAATATTATTTACTTTGTGAGGTATACCGACGGCTAGCACATCACACAACAGACATGTGCAAACCATGTAAGAAAAAATGGTGAAATTCTTGGAGGATATGTTGAAAACCTTCATGGAGAACGTCGTGTATACTCTACAGGTATGCGATTATTACAGTGATAAGGAAAGAGTAGAGAATGCTGGCAACCACCCTAATATCCATTTTATCCGTTCAGCTACCCTTGAGAACCAGTTATGTCACAAGACTAAACTTTTGAACACTCTATCGTCCATGTCTAATAAACGAGTTAATAAAAAGGTTTATGACAGCTTATTATCTGCTTAATTACCGGAGAACATATATTGTGAGTGTGAATAACTCAAATTGAACCGCTTTAAACACACACAAATGGAAAGAGTACTTGCAACTGTTTGGTTTGCAAAGCTGTCTTTGTAAATAATAAGTAATTTCGAGTTAAATGAATAAGTTATGAATAAGTTAGCAATTTAAAACAAATAAAATTCCTATTGAACAACAGTATTTAACTCATTTTTTGTTGGAATTAGGAATTTGTATAACTCACCAGTTAGGCATAATGTCGTTTAGTGTGATATGAATTCTAGTTTAAGTTTAGTTGTTTCACCAAGTGTATGAATTACGTTCTTATAAATATGGAATTGAAAAGAACTCAGGAATTTCCAACTTAGTATTTGCGAAAAATTACTTACATACTTACTTACGACTGTTACCCCCAAATGAAGCATAGGCCGCCGACCAGTTTTCTCCAACCAACTCTGTCATCCTGGGCTTCCGTCTACAGTTCTCTCCAATGTTTGTTCATTCCTCTCATATCTTTCTCTATTTCTCGGCGTATTGTGTTCCTTGGCCTTCCTCTTTTCCTTTTGCCTTGAGGGTTCCATGTGAGGGATTGTCTTGTGACGCAGTTAGGTGCTTTTTGTAATGTGTGTCCTATCCAATTACACAGCATCTCCCTGATTTCTTCCTCCACTGGAATCTGGTTTGTTCTCTCCCACAGTACGTTGTTGATGATGATGTCTGGCCAACGAATCAGAAGTATTTTGCGTAGACAACTGTTAATAAACACTTGTATCTTGTGGATGATGGCTTTTGTAGTTCTCCAAGTTTCGGCTCCATACAGTAGCACTGTCTTGCATTTTGTATTGCATCGGAGAATTTTGCTTTTTCCTTTATGTATGTTGAGACCTACTGCTGTAGAGGCTGCTGCTACACTAGTCGTCTTCTCTTGCATTTGTTGTTGCGTGTTTGATAGAAGAGCCAGGTCATCTGTGAAGTCCAAATCGTCCAGCTGCGTCCTAACTGTCCAGTTGATGCCGTTCTTCCCTCCAGATGTCGACGTATTCATAATCCAGTCAATGACCAGGAGAAAGAGAAAGGGTGAGAGTAAGCAACCTTGCCTCACACCGGTCTTCACCTCAAAGGAGTCTGTTAGCTGTCCTTCGTGTATGATTTTGCAGTTGGATCCATCATAAGAATTCCGTATGATGTTAACTATCTTCCCAGGCACACCATAGTGTCGAAGATGTCTCTACAGTGTTTTCCTATCCACGCTATCGAATGCTTTCTCGTAGTCAATGAAGTTGATGTAGAGTGGTGAGTTCCATTCAATTGATTGTTCCACAATGATCCGTAATTCGGCAATTTTGTCACTAAATTAAATTATCAGGAAAAAAAATAATTTACGAAAAATTAGCGAAGTCGAAATGATATAATGAAATGAAAAAGTGTTTCTAACCTAAGGAAATAGCAAAACAGTCTACCTGTCTTCAGAACATTCATGGTATTATCCACATTAACTGCAAGTATACAAACTTTTTAAGTGACAGAAAGAAACCATGTGTAATACCTGAGATTTAGAGCAGAACAAGCTCTAAGCGAAGGATGTTCTGTAGAACTGCATGATACGACCAAAAGGCAAGTTGAGAAGTACAGTATATCAAGGAAACCACACGGGAACTGAGAAATGAACCCGACCGGTGTGGATCAACAGCAGTTGAACAGGTGGGCACAGCACTCTGAAGAACATTTGAACCTCAAAGGACGATACAAAGACCTCCCCATACATGTTACCCTACTATCAATGGAATAAACTAGCAAGGTCATCATCAAACAAATCAAGGGTCGCAAAACAGCTTGATCAGATAGCATACCCAATGAAGCACTGAAGATAAACATACAGAAATGTTTCTCTCACTGCTCAGGAAATTTCCGGACAAAGAGCAAATGCCAATAGACTTGAAAGAAGGATACCTTATCAATATACCACAGTGAGGAGATTATGAACATTTTAGTGTGAAAAATACAGTTGGATCATACTGTTATATGCAACATCTAAGTTTTCAACAGAATTAGGATGAACTGAAAGCAAGATTCAGTAGAAAGTCAACTTTGAGATCAGCAAGACCGTTTTCGTATTTATCAATCATGAACTGATCAAAAACAGTGACATGTGGACTGTCATTGAAAAATCATGTAAATGGAACCCACCTGATATATCTCAAATTTTTGATTGTGAAGAAGCATTGAATCAGGGCAGATAGATGAAACTTTGTGGGATCTTCTACACTATGTAGTAACTAAAAAGATTCTCACCGTCATACGGAACTTCTATGAGGGACTCAATAACATATTTGTGTATGAAGGTCAGCTTTCCAAATCAAGAGTAGCCACAGACAAGGTTGTTTCTTTTTCGCCCGGTGCTGATTAAACTACGAAGACCGCACTTCAGAAGAAGCGAGAATATAGTGAACACGTTGTTTACTCCTGGATGATTTGGGCTTTGTGCATGACTTGGCTATTCCATCATTTAAATGTACCTAGGCAGCCTTCTTGATAAACAAGCAGAGTCGGATGCAAGTATCAACGGACTTGCAGTGCCTCCAAATATATTCCAGTTCGCTTACATTTAACTTGATTAAGCCCTTTCGATTAATTTATTTAACCAAGCCATTTGTGTATTGCAACAATTTATATGTGCCATTCGTTCTTATTATTGTCTGGTTTGTATGAGCTCACATGACGTGTCTCACCACTTGTCATTTGACCTTGTCAACTATTCGTCGCTTTGTTCATGTGTGCCTATTTCACTTGTCGCATGTCTGTCTTATATTTGTCTGACTATATATTCTTAGTGATGCTCTATCTCTGGGAGTTGGCTCATTAGCCTTCCCCAACATGCTTCGCCTGTTCATTCGACTCCTTCGCCCATTCGTTCGCATTGTAATCCTGGGAGTTGGCTCAACAGCCTTCTCCGATTCACGTCTCTTCATTCGTTTTATTCACTGCTTCTCCGGTTCGATTTGTGGTGTTTCCCAAATAAACGTATTCAAACACTTTGAGTTTACCTTCTGATTTATCAACCGACAGACGCTATTTAGTAACGATTTTCTGGACGAGCTAATTACCAAGCTTAAGAACACGCAGTAAAGCGACACACTACAGACTAATTGTTAAAGAAGAACGGGCTACATTTCTTCAATTATGGAGAAGTTGAAACTTAAAACGACTTCCGTTCAAGACCACATCCAGAATTTTAAACACAAGTAACAAAAGAGTTCTATTGTATCAAGCCGAAACCCAATGAACTACAACCATCGAAAAGGCACTGGTATTTCTAAATAGCTTTTTAAGCATAATCCTCCAAATTCGATCGTCTGCAGTAAACTACTTCAAAAGACAACAAATAAATTGAAAGCTATGAAAGGAAATAAGGAATATACTCCGGAGGTAGAAAAGTCACAATTTACAGAAACCATCAAACTAATTCACAAGCAAAAGCCCTAACTCGATGAGCGAAAAAATGAGTCAACACGAAGGACAGAGAACGCCAGTAATTCGAGTCAGACATGAAGACCATGAATGTGATTCGATAATATTTGTATACCCTCAAGCGGTTTTAGCGTTTTTTTGGCAAGTTAGATTTCGACGGAATGGGGTCGCCAACCCCATGTTCAACCCTCCTGCTTTACCCGTGCTTGAGACCGGCAGTAGCCCCGAAGGTTCTACTGGCGGATACCCTCAAGAGAAGTAAAATTCTTAAGTAAGTAAGCAAATATCTAAATCAGCATTTTGTCTGCACAGGTCAGTCAACATTAAAACAAACTAGAACCTCATAATAATGGTTCTTTCCAGAAACAATCTATTCATAACGTGTCTAAACATAACGATTAACAGGTTGTTGTTAAATCATGACATTGTCTTCTACGCCGTAGGCTATATTAACTATCATCAAGATTTCTAAGCAGCTTGTTTAAACCGCAAACTAATGTCAGTCTTCCTTTAAACAGAGCGGCAGTTAGTAATGACTAACTAGTTAGACTACTGCTACTGAGTTCGCTTGGTAAAACTAGCAGAGATGCCTTTAGTCATCAAAATATATAATGCGTTAATTCTTAACCTTTATTGACAGATCTATTCATGCTCTAGTGATTAAAATACCATTGTTTTATTGTGATCAATTTGTAAACAATTTGACCCAGTTTTTTTCCGGTAAGATGTTAGACTTAAACAAGCATCTTCTTTTCTATTTTAGATTTTTTCTCTACAAAAAACAAAACATGCTTACGAATACATTAAAGATTACTATCTTATTAATGGTTTGCGCTAATCATTGTTCATCCCAGTTTGAGCTTAAATCCTATCATATTTACCCGGAAGATTATGATTATGAAGAATCAGCTGCGGATTCGATCAAATCTAAACTTAAAGATTCCGAGTTGTATAATCGTTATCGAATGAGACGTCATTTTATGCCTCAACGATTTGGCAAAAGATTTACAAGTAAGTTTCACATTGCATTGCTTACTTATGTACTTACTTACGCCTGTTATCCCCAATAATGTATAGGCCGCTCACCAGTTTTCTCCAACCAACTCTGTCTGTGCTGGGCTTCCCTTTCCAGTTCTGTCCAATTTTTGTTCATTCCTCTCATATCGCTTTCTCTATTTCCCGGCGTAATGTGTTCCTTGGACTTCCTCTTTTCCTTTTGCCTTGAGGATTCCATGTGAGGGCTTGTCTTGTGACACAGTTAAGCACTTTTCGTAGTGTGTGTCCTATCCACTTCCACCGCTTATCCCTCATTTCCCCCTCCACTTGAATCTGGTTTGTTCTCTCCCACAGTACGTTGTTGCTGATGGAGTCTGGCCAACGAATCCGAAGTATTTTGCGTAGACAACTGTTCATAAATACTTGTATCTTCTGGATGATGGCTTTCGTAGTTCTCCAGGTTTCCGCTCGTAGTGTGTGTCTTCGCATTTCGTGTTCAATTAACATTAAAGTTGCATTTTCTCTAAACGAACCATAGCATGCAAAATGTATTTAAATGGAAAAGTTCACACATCAGTGATGACATCCTAAATGAAATAAATAATGTTTATACGTTTATACGTTAAATTCGTTTTAAGAATCTGTTATATTGTAGTGAAGGAGAACACAGGTGGGGCAGCCGAATTGTACCTAACGAACTTTACAGAGTTACTCAGTAAAATAGGAAAACCACATCGTAAATCGTTCATTTGCAAAATATCACTCCATCATATCGAACTGGACTGTTCCTGTTGCAAAACATCAATCCATTGTCACTATTCATGTGTTTCATACAAATTCCATTGTGTTCCCACTCTTCCTTTCTCTTGATCTTCTCCCATCTTCTGCTGCCAGACATTACGTTGACACTCACATCATATACTACTTATAAGTAGCTCGCACCACAATATGATATTGAAAACAACTAATTGTCTGGATTATGTCTCGAATGTTCGAAGTTTAGGTTTGACAATATGAAGAATGTTTTTCCAAAAAAAGGAACAGAATCCAATGGGGGAAGGTTATGAACTACTGAAAGTCAGTAAAATACAGCCCAAGTCTAGATCTTGAATACATGGAAGCCCTTTAAGGGAAAGGAATTAAAAATTAAATCGATTCCCTGAACAAGTGATATACTGAGAAGAAGATTTGTACCAGAATATTTGATGCACATAAGTTGCACTTAGTTGAGTGAAAAAAAAGGTTGTTTGATTTAGATGATACAGTGTTGTCTATCTGTTATTTGCACATTTTTGATTAGCCACAAAATACGTTTCTGTCTGTATTTACTACTGACATTTTGTTAGTAGTATACTGATAAATGTATCATATCATTTCGGCAGTGACTTGAATATGTTTATGAACCACTAAGTAAACATGCTTTATTACTGAGTAAAAGGGTTTTATTTACACATACAACTGTGTTCCGGAGAAATTCAAGACGCCCAAAAATAATAATATATATTTGTAAAATCATCATACTGAATTACGAACTGAGATTAGTACTATTGTGGTGTGTGCTACTTATACGAACGATATAAGTAGTATAAGAAGGGACGTGAAACAAGAAGTCTCACGGTCAGAAGAGGAAAACGGAAAGCAAATGGAGCAAAAGCAAGAAATAAATAGAGTGCCAACAGAGGAAGGAAAGGAAGCATCAGCAGGAATGGAAGAAGGATGGAGCGTTCGAAGTCACGACTCAAAGATGATGTGCAAATAGAGTGTTCAATGTAATGTTTTCGTTTTCAACTTACTCAGAGTGTAAATTTGCATAATAATATCTTCAGCTTAATGGAGCTCGAACATTTTCTGTTGATCATTCCAAGTCATTGAGATTTACACGAATAACAAACTGTCTACTGGCTAGAATAACCTGAATCATGAAATAATTTTGAACAGTTTTTGAGCAACTAAGTCAAGATAAAAATGATCCCATTGGACATTTTCTGCATGTGTTCAATGTGGCCCATAAAGTTGTGTATTTCATAAAACGTTATCATTTAACTGACGGGTTGTACTTTTTTCAATTTTATGATATCAAGATTGATTTAACCATATAAGAAGTGAAATCATTAATCAGTGATCTTTAGACCACCATTGAAAACATGGAAGCACTGGACGGCCATTTTGTCCTGGTATGAGACTCATCAGCAGTGCACATTCACGACTCTTGCAACTCGCAGGATTCGAACCCATAACCTTCGGTCTTGTGCGCGAACGCCTATCCACTGGACCACTGCCAAAGGTGCCGGGTCCGAATCCCGCGAGGTACAGGTATTGTGGATGCCCACTGCCACTGATGAGTCCCATACCGGGACGAAACGGCCGTCCAGTGTTTCCAGGTTTTCAATGGTGGTCTAACAATGATTGATTGGTGATTTCAAATGTGTAAAAACACTAAACTCCATAACTCTAGTTGAAAATATATAAGAAGTTGTATAACAGATTTAAAACAACGTTATTTAAAAGCAATTACATCTGTTCGTTAATAAGGAAATGATACAAATTCAGACAAACAATAATAGAAACATGTCTCTACACCAAGTAATTGTTATTCAGTAATTAAATATCAAGTTTATGTATACATTAATGATACGTGTATACAAGCATATCAATGCACATTACGGCTATTAGTTTCGACACAGTGTTGCTTCAGTAGACTGAATACAAAGATTAGCTTAGTTAGTTGTGACTCAACTATATAGCACAGGTTTTTAATCAACAACCCAAGAGTCTGAATCCAGCAGTAAGTAATATTTGCTTGAAGAATTATGTTCAGTCACAGGTATCACAATAGAACATGTGAAGAAATACTGACCTTAAACTGTTTATTCCGGAACAGCTTGAGACAAAATGTGTGATACTTTTTCAATGTTTTAAGCGAACACTACTTTTTTTCAATCAGTGTTGTGGAGATCATTGTTTTTACACAGAGAAATCATGAATCAATAATCACTGTTATACCAACATTAAAAACATGTAAGCTTTAAATAGCCGTTTCGTCCTAGTTTGGGATTCACCTGCAGTGAGCATCCACAAATCCTGATACTCGAGGAATTTGAAAATAGGACCTTCATTCTTTTGCGTGAATGCTTAGTGAGATATTGTGACTAGTGGAGTACAACCCTGTTGGGCGTAGACAGTGAGTACCGAAAAAAATCCATCGATTGTGATAAGTTATATAGACGTTAACATCGTTGAATGCCAGCCTAGTAATCCAGAAGTCAGGCGTTCGCACACAAGACCAATGGTCCTAGGTTAGGATCCTGCGACGTTCAGGATTCGTGGATGCGCACGAAAATTACAGAGTTACTCAGTAAAATAGGAAAACCATATCGTAAATCGTTAATTTGCAAAATATCAGTTCATCATATCGAACTGGACTGTTCCTGTTGCAAAACAGCAATCCATTGTCACTATTCATGCGTTTCATACAAATTCCATTGTGTTCTTCTAACTCTTCCTTTCTTGATCTTCCCCCATCTTCTGCTGCCAGACATTACGTTGACACTCACGTCATATACTACTTATAAGTAGCTCGCACCACACGCCCAATGCTCCCATGTTTCTAATGGTGGTTGAGTAGAAGGTATTTTTACTTTTGCAGATATTCGTTTTTTCCCCTTTTGTTTTTCTACTTAAAATATACATGTGAGTGGTTGTTTCATGAAGGTCAACGTTTTGCAAATAATCTTAAAAATAAAACCCCCCAAAAAATCAATGATTATATGCAGAGTGTCTATCTGTGTGTGTGCGCGCCTCTATTTCATGTGACTTAACAATCAATTGTTATTTTTGTATTGCGTTTCACTGATGGTACATTGGGAATTTATAAATCTATATATGTATTGTATATATATATATATATATATATATATATATATATATATATATATATATTGAAATGAAACTTATTAGTTACGATACGCTTGATAGATTTCTCTCTCTCTCTCTCTCTCTTGACTATTATTTCTTGATTGAATAACTAACTAACTAATTACAAATTACCAATAGAACGAATCGTTTTCAACTGTATACATTCCATATAACGAAGATTATGTATAGGTTATTTTGACTGAATATATATGTATGTATTTCAGTCAAAATTATAGTTGTTGTAAGTAAAGTTTTTATTGATGACAGCTAATAAATTGTTATTAGTAGTAGTATAATTAGTGTTATTATTACTCGTAAAAAGCTGTTTTTATGTTTTTTCCCTTAATCTGACTCATTGTATTTTCTTTTTGTAAGTTAATTTTCTTGTTCATTGTGATTGTTGATCAGAAATAATAATAATAATAACAAAAATATGATATTTTCAATTAGAGAGAGTTATGGAGATTAGTGTTTGTTGCACATTTGAAATCATCAGTCGATCAATCATTGTTAGACCAGCATTATAAAAAAACCTGGAAGCACTGAAAGACGGCCGTTTCGTCCTAGTATAGGACTCGTCAGTGGCAGTACGCATCCATGACTCCTGCATCTGGCAGGATTCGAACCCGGGGGAATACGCGAACGCCTACCCATTGGACCACTGGGCCGTCATCCAACGGTGTTAATTTCTAACTCTGATTGATCTAGGGATTTTGCGCGACCTCACCTATTTGTTTTAAATAATAAGTTATCGAAAAAAGTAATACTTCAAGTTGGAATTATTTCCACTTCTGGAAAAAAGGAAGGTTGATAATTAAACGCATGTGGGGTGAAAAGCAAATTACTAGTGTGGCATTCAAGAGTAGCAAATACTTCCGTTCAGTGTATGTTTGTTATGCTCGTCACTAAGTATGCTTGAGGCTATTACAAGTTTACCTTAGTCGATAAACGCGAACGAGACTTTTACCATCGCCCAGGTAGGCAACCTTGAATCCCAGCGGAAGTAAAAAAGCTTTGTAAGCGTAGAAAGCATATTCTACAAACACCCAGCAAGCACACAGTACAATCAAGCTTACAACTCTCGTGTATTTATACATCATAGAAACGTCCTAGTGGGACAGTTAAGAAAATAGCACACTAAAATACACAGCAGCCAATCACACAGCCATGGATTTTGCTGGTGGGAAATCTAATCTCAAGGTCAACTGATCACTCCATGATCGGAAACGTGAAAACCAAAATAAGGCATTTATCAAGCGAATTTTGGGGATCTAACATCCCCAACAATGCTTAGGATAGTACATGGATAAAATATTCGTCATATTGAATACTGAAAATGATCAAATAATGAAAATCAGAAAAGTAAAAAGTATATGTAGTGAATGATGAGCAAATTATCAGAAATATGAAATAACTAGTTCAAGGAACTTGCATAAATTTGCTGACTATTTTAAACGATTTCAATGTATGAATATGTTGCGAGGGTTTACAACAATTTTACACTGTTTAGTCAGTGAAAATAAACTTCACACAAGTGAAAAGTATACAATTTTCTCTACTCTGTTAGTTTTGTGTGAACTCATCCTTGAAGACCCCCTGGAGCTACTGCCGATCTCATGCACAGATAAAGAAAGAGGGTTGGGAATCGGGTTAGCGATCGCATCCTATAGAGAAATAAATTATTAAAAATAGGCTAACCAAAAACAATAATTCAGGCCAATTAAACGCTGCTCTGGAAGTTGGAAGGTCTTTATTTAGAAGAGCTAGAACGCCTTGCCAAGCTTCTTAGGAAGTAACGAGGTCGATGCACTTTTCAAAGACTAGAATGGTCGTAGATTGTGCTAGACAGACAGACAGATACAACGCACAACTTCGTACGTACGTACATCAGTTCAGGTTGCTATACCGCATCAGCAGAGAGATGTAGCTGTCAGTTCAAATCCATCAGTGATAACCATAATAGAAGTATTAGCAGTAATGGAGAAGATTAGGGATTGAAGATATGATTCGAGAAGTATAATTCACTAAGATAAATTTAGAAGGAGAAAGGTAGAGATTATGAGGAATGCAGAAGCTTAGAATTTCATAGAACACAAAGAGTGGATGCACCTGCGCAATCGCAAACGATTCTGAACCATGTCATTCAAGGTCTCTAACCATTGGTGACTATCGTCTCACGGACCCCAACCAGGTAGTCTACATCTACCAACATGACTCAGTCCACTTGTAAGCGACTTCATGCATTTCTGCCATGTTTTGGTTTGACCGCCCCTAACTTTCTTCCAATCTACTCCTACACTGCAAAACATTGCTCGTCACGGCAGTCGGTGGTTAGCCATACGTAATACATGTCCCGACCACCTCAACTGATGAAGTTTCACTACTTCATCTAGACTGGAAGAAACATTCAGATTGCTGCGGAAATGAAAATACGCAACCTGATAGTACTTAGAATCAACAGAATACAGTGGACCCAGGTCGGAGAACGAAGAATGGCTTCAAAAGAGATACTATTATACTCCAGTTACGAAGAAGAAAATGCTCCACATTCAAAAAGAATTGCACTGATGTTGTCAAAATAAGCCTGAAAAGCACTGACGGGATAGGAATCTCATGGATTCAGGATTATCAAAGCATCCTTCAAAAGAAAGAAAAAGGGAATTATAATGAATGTCACCCTGTTCTGTACGTCTACCATCGATGCTGCTGCATTCAATCGTTGAGAACTACCCAGCAACGAAATTGACCATATTGATGGGAGACGTAAATGCCAAGGTTGGGATGGACAACACCGGATATCAAGACTTCATGGGACATCAGGGATTAGGAGAAAGGAACGAAAACAAACTGGTTAAAAATGGCGTCATACTCCCACATAAACTCATACACAAAGCCACACGGATTTCATCGGATCACACCGTACGTAACCAAAAAGAACCAAAATGGAAGTGAGAATCAAGAGAGGAGCTGATATATTCTTACATTGTCACTCGCTGGCAACCAAAATGAAACAGAAACTCAAGAAGCACTTGTCAACCGGGCGGACAACATCACAAACGTTTAATAAATCCTATATTAGGGCCATTGGCAAACTCAACGAATTCAAGATAGCCATTAGGCACAGATTCAAGGCCTTTTACTGTACGGAGCGGAATCTTGGAGAACGACGAAAGCCATCTTCCGGAAGATACAAGTATTTATTAACAGTTGCCTACGCAAAATATGCAAAAATATCGGCAACAACCTACTGTGAGAGAGACCGAATCAGATTGAAGCGGAGGAGGAATTCAGGAAGAAGCTGTGGAAGTGGATGGGACACACATAAAGGAAAGCGCCCAAAATAACATCAGTAGACATTCTGAAATGTTAGTCGGCGATAAAACACACACAAATCAATCCAAATGTAAGCAGAAAACATAGTCAGATTGTATTCGTTCATCAAACCTCTTAATGAGCTGAAATAATAATTTATATAACCGATATGTGGACCAACGTCACTCCTCACAGTTAGTTATTCATGCATATTTCTATTCTTAGGCATGAACAGTATAGAACCAAACTTACAAGTTCAGCGAACCATAAACCAAGCATAATTAAGTGTTAGACCAGTTTACAAACCAAAATAAATGGTTACGCCATTTCATAAAAAAAAGTGTATTTTTGACTGTTCTCTTCTACATGTCCTACACTTCAAAATACTCTTATTGCGTCATAAGTCTGTATCCGATAGCCTTCCCTTCGACCGTAAATTCAGAGAGATACTCTGATGCATATCCATTGAATACTACTTATAAGCTTCGTTGTAAGTAGTACACATCACTGGTTGGAAAAAAAGATTAAGCGACAAGAATACTTACGAAAAAAGGAAGAAGAATATTGGGGAATATGAAGTTTAAAAGAACTCTGAATCGCAATATCTAAGGAAAAGCATAATTTTAATGCAACGTTTCAGACCAATTGTCGCTGTAAAAATCTAGTCTGAACCTACTAACGTAGTATTTATTCTAAGCAATTTAACTCACTGATATTTCATTCCTCTCTGTAATAGATGGAAGATTAAATTAGATAGATAGTTTTCAAGTGTTATTAGCGAAATATTTTTTCAATATGAATTTCACATATTCATTTCGTAAAACTTACTTACTTACTTACTTACTTACGCCTGTTACCCCCAATCGAGCATAGGTCGCCCACCAGTTTCCTCCAACCAACACTGTCCTGGGCTTCCTTCCTCAGTTCTGTCCAATGTTTGTTCATTACTCTCATATCATTCTCTATTTCTCGGAAAAGTAATGTGTTCCTTGGACTTCCTCTGTTCCTTTTGTCTTGAGGGTTCCATGTGAGGGCTTGTCTCGTGACGCAGTTAGGTACTTTTCGTAATGTGTGTCCTATCCACTTCCAACACTACTTCCTGATTTCATCCTCCACTGGAATCTGGTTTGTTCTCTCCCACAGTACGTTGTTGCTGATGATGTCTGGCCAACGAATCCGAAGCATTTTGCATAGACAACTATTAATAAACACTTGTATCTTCTGGATGATGGCTTTCGTTGTACTGCAAGTTTCCGTTCCATACAGTAGAACTGTCTTGACATTTCGTAAAAGTGTTATCTTAATTTACAAACGGCATAGATTAATTAGGTAAACAAAAACATATGAACGTAAAGTAAGTCTTTCCAAACATCGCAACTTAAGGAATCAGAATTGGGTTATAACTGACACAATGAATAATAAGTGGATAAAGATGTCACCTGTGGTAATTTCATGGCAGTTGAACTGATCTTCCGTAGATCAGCTGTTGAAAAATAGTGACATCACCAACAATAGTCACTCTCTTATAGGAATTAGTCGAGACAGAATGCAAAATTTTGTAGTATGTATGTTATATTTTAGAAAACTGAGTTGAATAAGGAAAAATTCACATTTCTACATTCCTGTCAATTCAAGATTTTGCATCTTTTGTTTCAATAAAGCGAAAACAACAAACTTAGCGGAACGGTATAAATTCATTTTATATCATACAATGGTATTGTAGTGAGCGAGAACGCAGGTGGGGCAACCGGATTGTATTAAACAAAAATTACGCTCTCGTCATATACCACTTATAAGTAGCTCGCACCACAGTATTAGTGAGTAAAATCAATGTGCATACTTACATACATCATAGAATCAAAAATATTTTCATTTGTAAGGATTGATGACGAATGTACACTGATGAGTTCTCTCAACTATCCGCATCCAAATAAACGATTTACAATGGAACATGAACATGAACTCTATTTAAATGGTAATACCTTCTATTCGATATGTTATAAACGAACTAAAATGAGAATTGTGTTCACTCGAGCTTAAAAATTAGGTTTGGAAGACGGAATCGATAAGCAATTAATCGTTGTTGAAAAGTGTCTGAACGATAATGGTATCCGCAAAAGTTTTTAAATCAATAAAAGTAACAGAAAATGCTACAATCTGGAAGAAATTTGTTGAAAAGGTGATGAATTATCTGGTAAGATTGACTTATTGTAACAGCAAAACTGGTCATAATTTATCCAACAGAATGCTTATCAAAACGTTCAAAAGTGAACAAATACTCACCTTAGTCTATCGTCGATTTGTGTACACCAACTAACGTCTGTGTGCGCCGAAGCACATACAGTGAGAAAACAGAAAGGAGAATGAGTAATTTGTATCGATGAGTACATTCCCTGAAAATTGAGTTTGAGAGGTCAACATGCCCTCAAAATTTCGATTGCTTGTCATTTACTTAATAGTAGACGTTATATTGAGAGATTGCTATTGCCGTTCAAAATTTACCGAGAGATAAACATCTTCACACTGATTACGTTTTTGTCCAAGTAACTGCTATCAAAAGATGTATACAAAAGTACACTGTTGAAAATCTTGCTTTGCCTTGGTGACTTTTATGACACTTTTATTTCAAAAAAATGAAAAATCAATTTGTTTTTTTTAACTCCCTTAGTTTTTCTTTGATATTCACTTATATTTTAAATCTTTGAGTATTTGTCACTATTTCAGTAGACCCTTTGAGTCTAAGTAAGCAATTAAGTAAGTGCATAAGTAAGTAAGTAAGTGCATAAGTAAGTAAGTAAGTGCATAAGTAAGTAAGTAAGTAAGTAAGTAAATAAGTAAGTAAGTAAATAAGTAAGTAAGTAAGTGCATAAGTAAGTAAGTAAGTGCATAAGTAAGTAAGTAAGTGCATAAGTAAGTAAGTAAGTGCATAAGTAAGTAAGTAAGTAAGTAAGTAAATAAGTAAGTAAGTAAATAAGTAAGTAAGTAAGTGCATAAGTAAGTAAGTAAGTGCATAAGTAAGTAAGTAAGTGCATAAGTAAGTAAGTAAGTGCATAAGTAAGTAAGTAAGTGCATAAGTAAGTAAGTAAGTGCATAAGTAAGTAAGTAAGTAAGTAAGTAAGTAAGTAAGTAAGTAAGTAAGTAAGTAAGTAAGTAAGTAAGTAAGTAAGTAAGTAAGTAAGTAAGTAAGTAAGTAAGTAAGTAAGTAAGTAAGTAAGTAAGTAAGTAAGTAAGTAAGTAAGTAAGTAAGTAAGTAAGTAAGTAAGTAAGTAAGTAAGTAAGTAAGTAAGTAAGTAAGTAAGTAAGTAAGTAAGTAAGTAAGTAAGTAAGTAAGTAAGTAAGTAAGTAAGTAAGTAAGTAAGTAAGTAAGTGCATAAGTAAGTAAGTAAGTGCATAAGTAAGTAAGTAAGTGCATAAGTAAGTAAGTAAGTGCATAAGTAAGTAAGTAAGTAAGTAAGTAAGTAGGTAAGTAAGTAAGTAAGTAAGTAGTTTAGTTTAGTTTTTCCTTGATATTCACTTACATTTTTAATCTTTGAGTATCTGTCACTGTTTCCTTAGACCCGTCCAGGGGCTCCCAAGCCCCGATAAAGGAGGAAGGTTGGGCATGGGGTAGATGACCGCCCCATCCCACCAAACAAAACTAACTCGCTGAAAAAAACGCTTCACTTTTTCTAGAATTTTCATATTATTTGCCTAATAAAACTTCACAGATGACAACATTTTTGATTTTATGATACAGATTGTGTACATTGATTTCATTAATGCCTACTTTTATGTTTAGATTGTAAGTAGAAGTAAGAAGAAACTGTCAAAAGTAAAAAGGATTCAGTCTATTCTGTTACATTTTATTGTTTTCGAGCCAATTCAAAATTTAATATTTTTCGAAAAAGACCGTATGAAATTTTTCGCATCTTTCCTACTAATCGTTAGTTAGTTCTGTTGAGGCATTAACTAACAATCTGGTGAGCTCCACAGCAAGCACCGACAGGTCACCATCATCCGACAGCCGCGCCAACCGGAACATCTGCGGCGCCTCCTCTCTGTCCACTGGGCTGTCGAACTCCGTCATCAGCCTCGCAGTGACCGTCTCCCACGCCGTCTTCCCGGCGGCACCGTGCAGGCTGTCGCATACCGCCTTCGCCTCACCTCCCCGCAGCGCCCCCAGCACCGTCAACTCCGCCTCGGGCCCCCACCGGCTCCACCGTGGCCTCAAACTCCTCCAAGAAGCTCCGCTAATCTCCGTCCTGCAACTCCTTCGGCCACGGGAGCTCCTTCCTTCGAGCAGGCAGCGACACCAAATGTAGTGAACGAGAACACAGGTGTGGCAACCGAATTGAATTTAACGAAAATTACAGAGTTAGTCAGTAAAATTGGAAAACTATATCGTAAATCGTTCATTTGCAAAATATCAGTTCATCATATCGAACTGGACTGTTCCTGTTGCAAATCATCAATCGATTGTCACTATTCATGCCTTTCATACAAATTCCACTGTGTTCTTCTAACTCTTCCTTTGTTGATCTTCCCCCATCTTCTGCTGCCAGACATTACGTTGACACTCACGTCATATACTACTTATAAGTAGCTCACACCACACTACTATTACTACTACTACTACTAATACTAATACTAATACTAATACTGCTACTAATATTTTTTAGAGCAATATGAAAGTGAAATGTTCACATGTTTTGCTACTTCAATAGCAAATAGCAGTTCAAACTACTTAGTGGACTTTACTGAAATGGTGGGGAAAATTTGCAGCTCAGGTGGTTGATTGGGATAGAGGTTTTCGTTCTCGAAGCTGGATGCTTTTAGTTGCGAAGCTTCTGAATAACATCATCAGCACAAAAGTCAGATACAGGTGAAGTATTCAAATTCCTCCACTTATGACTCAATCTTGACTAGTTAGTTGTTACTGACCTTAAACCTGCTGTTGTCTACACCCTTATTTGATTGTATCCACCCCCGCTTTGATCGAGGTCAACAGAACACGCTGCTAGTCATAAATGGAGAAATTCGAACACTTCACTTCTATTTGAAGTTTGTGCTGATGACGATGTTGTTCAGAAAGCTGCATCGAAACATCCAGCTTAGAGAACGAAACCCTATCAAAAACTTTATTGCAATGATGACTGATCATTTTTTTTAGGTCTTGAATTTGATGTCAGCGTAGGAAGTAGTGAATGTGTTTTTCTGAGAAGTCACATACTAGGTTGAAACTGTCGTCCAGTATTTGCAGGTACTTACTTAATCATGGTGGTCCTACATTGGTCGATTTTGTGATTTCTGTTGAAACTCGACAATCTCCACAACCCTCATACTGAAACTTGATAAACTGTTTTACTGCAACAAAATTTTGTTCTATATTTACTTGTGAAATTGTATTACAATTCAATTTGAAATTAAATAAGTGAATTAAAGACACAATTTGCATTACGGGGTTGTGAAGATTGTTAAGTTACATATTTTTGAAACCATGAATCGATCAATGTTAGACCACCATTAGAAACTTGGAAGAAGCACTGAGAGACGGCCGTTTCGTCCTAGTATGGGACTCCTCAGCGGCAGTGCGCATCCACGACTCCTGCACCCCACAGGACTCGAACCCAGGACCTTCGGTATTGTGCGCGAACGCCCCAACCGTTAGATCACTGAGCCGGTATCTAACAGTGTTAATGTCTAACTTGACCAGAGGTCCTGGGTTCGAATCCTATGGGGTGTAGGAGTCGTGGATGTGCACTGCCACTGAGGAGTCCCATACTAGGACAAAACGGCCGTCTTTCAGTGCTTCTTCCAGGTTTCTAATGCTGGTGGTCTAACATTGATCGATTCATGGTTTCAAAAAATGTTAAAGTTATAAGTCGTAAGTGATTTTTTTTTCACACAATCCTCAAAAATTGTTTGTTGTTTTTGGATTGTTAGTATTGATATGAAATGTTCAATTATATTTATTAACGATTGAATGATTCAATCAGAATTTCAATCATAAAGTCAATAAAAGCAATAATAATAATTATACTTAATATTAATTCCTGTTTTTTTTCTCTGATATTTCTTTATTAAACTTCAAAAGAAGGATTCATACCACAACGCTTTGGTAAAAGATTATACGGTAAGTGTATTGTTGAATTATTTGAAATGTACTATATATATATATATATATATATATATATATATATATATATATATATATACATTTCATTATGAGGTAGTGGAGTTAGTCGTGGAGAAAAGAGAGATAATAAGTGGTGTAAGAAGGATTTGATTTTGACCAATTTGGTCTCGTGCGCTGTTACGGGTATCAAGGGGCGGTTGTCACTTCCCGGGTGCCCACACCGTGGAAGATTGTTTCTTGAGGGACCTTAAAAGGAAGATAGATTTGTGTTGAGTTACTTATCGAAATCATGAATCGATGAATGTTTGTCCACCATTAGAAAACGGGAAGCACTCGACGATTGTCAAGTCCTGGTATGGGACTCATCAGTAGTGCGTTTCCACGAATCCTGCACCCAGAACAGTCGATCTCGCAATCCAACGCCTAACCTCTGAACCATTTGGGCTGGTATCTAAAGGTGTTAATGTCTAGCTCTGATCAATCTATGGATTTCGTACGACATCATACACTGCCTTCTGTGAGCACTGTCTCACACCTGAACAGGGTAGAACTCCGCTGGTCACGACTTCCGACTAGAAGTCGGAGAAGTTTCCTCATGTAGCTAGTTACTAGCATAATAACTACAGTAAACGATAACTACATATTTACATTACAGATAGACCAGTGTTGATTTATTTTTTAGTTTGGGACTGATTAGATTGAAAACAAAACTGTTTTATGTTTTTTGCTGATTAAAATAACTGTTCATGTTTCGTTCAACTATGCACCCTTTTTGTGCATCAGTTCTTATGAACATGATGATACAACATGAGATAGATGCAGTCTGAACAATCTGCTTCGATTCGCTGCACTTTTTAAATTTCCCACCGATCGATTCTAGTATCTTAACTATATTCATCAGTTAAACTTCTATCCATTGCTGTTGTTGAAATCTGTCTCATTACTGACATGACTGACTTCCACTGATACTTAACTCTAAAAGTTACTCTGTTCTTACCAAGATCTACTATTCCTGCAGACTTCAATCCATGTTGAAGGAACTAACTAGCTTTACTCTGATACAGAGTTCAAAAAAAAATCAGAATAACTAATTCTCAATAATTTCCCCACAAAGATTCTTCTCAAATCAATTCAATCCTTGCTGAGCCACATTATCTCAACCTTTAAACAAAAAAATTAAAAATGTTCGATTATTTCAACAACAACAACAACAACAGAAAAAATCAATAATTTAACATTCATAAATTACACACAGACGTAATTCTCAACTACAACAGCAACAACCCAAGAACTCGCAAGATCAACTGCATACAAACTTTGTTCAAGAGAGCGAAGACACACTGCAGCACATACGAAGCATTAAAAAAACAAGGAAAAACACCTGATGACTACTATCTTCCAAAAGAACGGCTATCCACGCAACTTCATCAAAAGGCATCAACTGAAATCGTCAACTGAAGCGAAACCAAGTACAGGAACCAATAAACGGATCATCCTACCATACATCAAAGACATATCGGAGCATACAGCTCGACTACTGAGACCATTTGGAATAGGTACGGCACACAAACCGACAGAATCACCCCGATCAATCCTAAGCAGACCAAAGGACAAAATGACAAAAGAAGAAAAACCAAATATCATCTACAAAATAAATGACTGCTCAAACTGTGAAAAACACTACATAGGACAAAGTGGACGACCTCTTCATCAGCTCCGTTTACGTGAACATCAATTAGCAGTCAAACGCCACGACAACGGTTCGCTTATATCAATACATACCGACAATTATGGACACACATTTGATTGGAACAATGTGGAAATACTGGGTAGGGCGGAGGACAAAGAACGCTAGAGAATTTTTTGAAGCTTGGCACTCAGGTCAATCAATCAGCAATCAACATACACAATCGACATTGTCCCAATTTATCAACCAATCAGGAAAATCATAGATGACACAGGATCAAGAAACAGATCAAAAGGGGGATGCAATCAAAACAAAGTTGCAAACAACGACAGGTCAAAGGTCAACAGCAACCAATCTTGACCGAGGTTAACAGAATAAGCTACAGGTCAAACGTGGAGAAATTCGAATGCGCTTCACTTCTCCTATATGAAGTTTGTGCTGATGATGTTGTTCAGCAGAAGAACAAGAATGAAAGCTCCACTACCAAAACAATATCCAGCTCAGAGAACAAAATGCCACCACAAGGTGTTTGTTTGAATGGCTGAACAATTAATTAACTAGCTAATCACTTTCATCAATATAATTGAGGCAGATAAAATTTCTATCAATATTTAATATATTCAGTATTCAATGTTCAATTTTTTATTCTTTTCATATTCAAACAATAATAACCGATGAGATTTGGATTTTTTGAAAATTAAAGAGAAAAACTAATTAGAATTTTAAAAAACGCGCTCACTAAAATATCAAAATAAACAAATAAATAAGAACACACCAAAAACAAATGAAACAATCGTTTAAATGTCCTTAAAAACTTGCGTACTTAAAAAAAAACAAAATCAAACACTCACCGGTTTGTTTGAATTGCTAGCGCTACTGTGGCGTGTAAATGAAAAATACATGACCTATATATACATAAATTACATTAAATGACACCATTAGTGAACAATTAATTAACTTTGATCATATATTTCAAAAATTTTAAATCAGATATTTGTTTTAATGAACAATTCAATTTTTTTTCAATGATCAATCTCAACATGAAGGTGATAAAATAAAAATTATTCAGAAATGATATATAAAATATATATTTATAAATGTGTAAACAAGAAAGCCATTTCATAAATTAGACAATTTAAATCTAGTCAGGTTTGACATATTTATCCTAATGACCTTAACTGAAAGACGAACTAATTTTTAAAGTTGCTTTTGATCAATAGGAAGATGATTGAAAATATCTACCGTGGAGTTCATACACACAAAAAAAATGGATTGGATATTATTATTCTTTAGAAAAATATTTCACCTGTAATTAGATTGAATTCGGTTAATGTATTTATTATGTTTTGTGGTGTAGGAGTAGATTGAAAGAAAGTTAGGGGCGGTCAAAACAAAACATGGCACAAATCCATGAAGTCAGTGACGACAAGTGGATTGAGTCATGATGGTAGATGTAGACTACCTGGTTTGGGTCCGCGAGATGATAGTCACCGATGCTTAGAGACCTTGAACGACATGGCTCAGAATCGTTTGCAATGGCGCAGGTGCATTCACTCTTTGTGTTCTCTCAAATTCTAAGCTTCTGCATTCCTCATAGTCTCTGTCTTTCTCCTTCTAAATTTATCTCACTGAATTATACTTCTCGAATCATATCTTTGCTCCCTTATCTTCTCCATTACTGCTAATACTTCTATTATTGCTATCACTGTTGGATTTGAATTGACAGTTGCGTCTCTGTGCTGATGGGGCATGGCAACCTGAACTTTGATGTACTTACGTACGAAGTTTTGCGTTGTATCTGTCTGTCTAATGTACTTACTTACTTACTTACGCCGCCAATCAGTTTTCTCCAACCAATTCTGTCCTGGGCTTCCCTCTTCAGTTCTGTCCAATGTTTGTTCATTCCTCTCATATATTTCTCTATTTCTCGGCGTAATGTGTTCCTTGGCCTTCACCTTTTTCTTTTGCCTTGAGGGTTCCATGTGAGGGAATTTCGCTTTTTCCTTTATGTATGTTGAGACCCACTGCTGCTGCAGAGGCTGCTGCTACACTGGTCGTCTTCTCTTGCATTTGTTGTTGCGTGTGCGATAGAAGAGCCAGGTCATCTGCGAAGTACAGATCGTCCAGATGCGTCCTAACTGTCCAGTTGATACCGTGTTTCCCTCCATATGTCGACGTCTTCATAATCCAGTCGACAGATGACCAGGAGAAAGAGAAAGGGTGAGTGTAAGAAACCTTGCTTGACACCGGTCTTCACCTCGAAAGAGTCTGTCAGCTGTCCTTTTGCAGTTGAATCCATTATAAGAATTCCGTATAATGTTAACTTTTTTCTCAGGCACACCGTAGTGTCGAAGAAGCCTCGACAGTGTTTTCCTATCCACACTATCGAATGCCTTCTCGTAGTCGATGAATTTGTTGTAGTCTTTCTAATGTATTATAGCCGAATTATAATTCATGAAATACTTGATAATGACTGCTGATGATATATCGTGAACCCGAAACTATTGAACACCTGTTTGGTGGTCAAGTTCAGCATCATTCAGCAGAGCACATAACATATTCGAGTGTAGAGAAATATATACTTGCACACCAATTCTGAATGGAAAGTCATCTTAAAAGTATTGAACATAGGGAAGATAATGTCATTGTCTAATCTTCAAGTATGTTGAGGGGAAACTTGAATTATTATTATAAGTTTGATTCAGTCATTTTAAAGCTAACGTACACATTATCATTAGTATCGGTGATCATCATTTGATCGCAAATGAGCTAATTGTTACGCCTGCACGTAAACACGTCAACGTGATATACTTGAACTATTACGAGATTACCTACTCGGAAAAACGAGAGCCAGGATCGAGGATCCGGTGATCCGACATGCTACTCTAATCCGATTAACCCAACTCCCATATTGAGTAAAAATAAGAAGACTTGAATGTGAAGTAGAACATGTATTCTACAAGCATCCAGAAAGTACGAGGTCCGAATCCAGAAGAGAATCAGGATCCCGGACTAGGGAATCGGGACCGAGCCCTGGTCGTGGTCGTGGTCATAAAATGTTACAGATAATGCGTATTTATACATTTTGGTCGAATAGGAAACAGCATCGAAGTCTGCGGCATTGACAGATAAGACGACCAATAGGAAGTAACATTTGAAATGACATTGACAGTCCGGCTAACTAATCAGAGACAACATTGAAGTAACGACCATAATTTTGACCAATAGGAATCGATCAATAGGATTTGACCAATAATTCTCTTAGGATATTGGATGAATATCCTAACACTAATCAGTCGATATTACTTTAGCATCCCAATGTAGGTTAGAATGGATTTCCATAAAATCGAAATCTTAGAAAATCATCTTACTAAATAGCAGACAAAAATTTCGTAATACACTGAAAGGTTGACATGTAAGTTGATTATATAAGTTTGATAAACTCTGGCATTTTTATTATTCAACAACTAGACGAAATGGACAATGTATGTCCTACCATGATGTGCTTGAATGCTGTTACGAGTTCACCTTAATCGGTAAACGTAATGAAGATCTATGATTCAGTGACACGATAGGTCATTCTAATCCGTTTGTCTTAGGCCCTGCTAACTAGATTCAGAACTCTATAATGGCGTAGAAAATGCATTCTACAAACACCCAGAAAATACAAGGTGTCCAAGTACTCAACTCAAGCCTATTTATACAATGACGGAAGCCTCATTGAGAGAGTCACAAAATAGCATACTAAAATAATCCATCAACCAATGAGAGTCAAGGATTTTTCACAGTGAGGAGGAGGGAAATACGAGCTATAGGTCAACTGGCGAGAAAACATTGGAATTCAAAAATTCAGCATTAAATTACAAAATTAAGACCTTTTCCAAGTGAGTTCTGGTGATCTAATATCCGCAACATACCAATAATGGCGTCATTTACTGGTGACGATACAACCCATCTGATTTTCAAAAGGGAAATTCACCAACGTTCTTCAGATAAATCTTTTCACCTAACTTCTAGTATAATTAGTACAAAACAACTAAAGGTTTGATAGTTAAACCATTCTAGCTCAAATATATATAACAATATCTGCATTACGGGGTTGTGAAGATTGTTAAGTTACACATTTTTCGAAACCACGAATCGATCAATGTTAGACCACCATTAAAAAACTGGAAGCACTGAAAGACGGCCGTTTCGTCCTGGTATAGGACTCCTCAGCAGTGCGTATCCACGACTCCTGCATGGTTTCAAAAATGTGTAACTTAACAATATTCACAACAACCCTGTAATGCAAACTACCTGTGCTCACTAGTGACTAGCTTCGTGAGGAATCTTCTCCGAGTTCTAGTGGGAATACGTGATTAGTGAAGTTCAACCTGTTCGGGTGTAGACAGTAACTATCGAAGACTGTGCATGAGGTTGCGCAACTCCGTGAATTGATCAAGTTAGACATTAACACCACCGCATAGCGGCTCAGTGGTCTAACTGCTAGGGCTTTCGCCTACAATACCGGAGGTCCTGGGTTCGATTCCTGAGGGGTGCAGGAGTCGTGAATACTGCTTTCATCCATTGATTTCTCATAAAATCTTTGAGCAGTCAATCGCTTCAAGTTATGTAAATGTTAATATCAACATTACATATTCATGGTGATGGTGTTTGGTTCTCTGAGCTGAGTGTTTTGGTTGTGGAGCTTTCATTGTTCTTCCTCTGAACAACATCATCAGTACAAACTTCAGATAGAAGTGAAGCATTCGAATTTCTCCATGTTTGACCTGTAGCTTGTTCTGCTAACCTCGACCCTGATTGGTTGCTGTTGACCTTTGTTGGGGATGTTAGATCCCCAAAACTCGCTTGTTAAAGGCCCCGATTTTGGATTCTACGTTTGCCAGCATGGGCTGATCAGTTCAATTCCCACCACGAAAATCCGTGGCTGTGATTGAGTGCTGTGTATTTTAGTGTGCTATATTCTTAACTGTCCCAAGGACATTTCAATGATGTATAAATAAACGAGAGTTGTGTGCTTGATTGCATTGTGTGCTTGCTGGATGTTTGTAGAATATACTCTCTACGCTTACAAAGCCTTCTTACTTTAGTTCGGGATTCAAGGTAGCCTACCTGGACGCTGGTAATTGTCTCGTTCGCGTTTATCGACTAAGGTAAACTCTTAATAGCCTCAAGCATACTTAGTGACGAACATAATAACCTTAAACCTATCGAAGGGTAGGAGGGTAGGGGGAGGACAAAGAACACTAGAGAATTTTTTAGAAGCTTGGCACTCAGGTCAATCAATCAGCAATCAACAAACACATCGACATTGACCCAATTTATCAACCAATCAGGAAAATCATAGGGGACATAGGATCGAGAAACAAATCAAAAGTGGGGATACAATCAAAACAAATGTGCAAACAACGACAGGTTTCAGGTCAACAGCAACCAGTCAAGACTGAGGTTAGCAGAATAAGCTACACGTTAAACGCTTCACTTCTTCTATCTGAAGTTTGTGCTGATGATGTTGTGTTCAGAGGAAGAACAATGAAAGCTCCACAACCAAAACACTCAGCTCAGAGAACAAAACACCACCACCACAATCATCCATCTGAGCTGCAAATCTTCTGCACCATCTCAACACTACATATTCATTATTCATAAGAATATTCCTCCTAATCACCAACTTTTTTCTATTAGGTTTCAAATAATTTTTATTTCCAATCAAAATTTTTCATTAATTCGACTGAATACATACATCAAAGTTTACAGATGAATTCATCAATTTTAAAAACGATTGTCCTGAGAACAAAACGTGTTGAAAGCAGCAACTAATTGTACTTGAATAGAGTTCTCAATGAAAAATATTGGGTCAGCTGAATATTCATTTTTTAAAAATGAAACTGACAAATTTTTAAAGCTGTATTATTTTAAAGTTAGTTACCAGTAGTTACAGATATCAGCAGAAAAGAAACAACTTTGCAAGCCGAATTCCTGTAAACAATTCATTTTACAGGTATCGCAAAAAATCCATCCATCTCACTTGGCTGGATAAATTTATTCCCTAGACAAATCATTTTCATTGATAAATCTATAGTAATTTGAGGCAGAGTTTTGGAGGTTTTACACATTTGGAATCATCAATCAATCATTGTTAGACCACCATTAGAAACCTGGAAGCACTGAAAGACGGCCGTTTCTTCCTGGTATGGGACTCATCAGCAGTGCACATCCACGACTCCTGCGCCCGGCTGGGTTTGATCCCGGAACCTTCATTATTGTGCGCAAACGCCTAAACTTTGGACCATTAGGCCGGCATCCAATGGTGTTAATGTCTAACTCTGATTGATCTAGAGATTTTGCGCGACCTCACCTATTTGTCTCTGGTAGTTACTGCTTACACCCGACAAGGTTAAACTCCACTAGTCACGTCTTCTCACTAGAACTCTGAGAATTTCCTCACGAAGCTAGTCACTAGTGAGCACTGTTACGATATTTTGGGGCAGAGTTTTGGAGATTTGCGTGTAAAAGCGCAAACTTTCCGGGTATGAATCCTGCGAGGAGCAGGAGTCGTGGATGCGCACTGCTGATTAGTCCCATACCAGGACGAAACGACCGTCCAGTGCTTCCAGGTTTCTAATGGTGGCCTAACAACCATTGATTGATGATTTCAAATGTGTAAAATTTTATGGTAGTAAACCACTTTTCCAGCTCATTTATTATATGAATTTATATTCAACATTGTGGCTTGAAATGGAAACGACTGTTTTATCTGTTGTCTGAAAAAATGCATAAACAACTGAATTCAAATATAAGTATAAATTAGAGTACAGCCGGAGTTTTAAAGTACACTAGGTTTAAAGCATAATTAATTATTGATCAACGCATAATATCATTATGTCGAAAAAAACATATAATGACTCAATTCTATTGGAAAGCCTCATTTTTTATGGGAATATATACTTGAAACAAAAGTACATCTGTCATCATCTGAAATAAACGATGAAAAATGATTTCACTTACGAAAATATATTACTGGCATTTAATTCAGTAGCCAAAATTTAATAAGAAAATATTTTTTCATCTCATGGATTCCCATTTTGATCAAAAATTAAATCAGTAAGATTAGAAAAGTTTATTATTAAATATCCTAGTTTATTTCATTTAATTTTTTTTTCAATCTATTTTCTTTCAGAAAAAATGAATCTGTGAATTTTATATACATATTGAATATTTAACGTTTGTTCAACTAACAATTATTGTAAACTGATGATTAACAAATTTTTGTGATTGAATTAAAATATACAAACATATATAATAAATATATCTTTGATTCTTATCATTCTTTTATGAAACGTTGAAATGAAGAAAATTAAAAGACTACTACACTGTTTTTTTGTTAATTTTTCAAACCTTATCATCAATAATCATGTTTAGTGTTACACATGTATGAAAGATTTTGTCCGGTATAAAAAATTAATCAGTCATCTATTGATTCATGGCTTGGCCGCTGTTTGAATACCAAATATAGTGAAGGAGAACACATGTGAGGGCAACCGAATTGTTCGTAAAATAGGAAAACCATATCGTAAGTCGTTATTTGCAAAATATCAATCCATAAATATCAAACTGGACTGTTCCTGTTGCCAAACATCAATCCATGTCTGATATTTAACTATTCGTGCGTTGCACACAAATTCCTTTGTGTTCCCACTCTTCCTTTCTTGATCTTCCTTCCCCATCTTCTGCTACCAGACATTACGTTTTTACTCGCATCATATACCACTTATAAGTAGCGCGCACCACACTCGTCCCCTACCTTTTAATAAGCTGTCGTCGTAGTCTTTCTGATCGCTGTACCACTGTTTTCTTTGGTGATTTCCGTGACTCAAACACTTGATAATCTTGAAACCACCTCTGCAGGTGACTGGCAGTTACACGCTTCTGCTTGTCTTCTCTTCGGATCGTGTACACCGCGCCGCATCTCTCCGTGATAACGTACGGTCCTTCCCAATTTGGGATCAACTTTCCGTTGCCGGATGAGTTCTAATGGGTCTACCTCTAAACTACTCACCGCGTATGCTGTCAATGGAAGGTCAGCTTCCTTGTCTAATCTTGAAGTTGTTAGATTGTTTAAATACGGAATCGCTGTATTGCATATAATCATTGCTAATAATAATGAGTTTGACGGTCATTTAAGTGGGATGGGTCGAAATGGCCTGTTCATGCGGGGTGCATATTGATTGACGAAGCGATTATGGATCGGAAATATTCACTATATATGTACTAGTGTATATAAATGGCGTGAATGGTTCATCAAGGCATCAGGTACCTGTGTGGTTGAACCACAGGACTGAACTGATCTGTTCATGTCTTAATGCTAACATGTGAGCAGTCTCATTGGTTCTCGTTAAAACCAATGTAAAATTACCCTTGACAATAGAGGGTTGATTTTTATAATTGTGAAATATAACTAAGATAAAATATTGATGTGAACTGAGAAACCTGAGTATGCCGAATGAGAATATGAATCTGAGATAAACACTAAAAGGTGTATGAACAACGGTCAAGTGTCTATTATAAGGTTTGAGTACGAGATTGATTACTCAGTCATGGACCACAACAATCAGGGCGGTTGAATATGATGCATCTGTTAAGAATATTTAGGTTAACATTTTGGGAGTTGATTTCAATGACGTCTGTTGCATAGAGAGAGAACTCGTAATCTCGCTTCCTAGGATAGATTGTTCAGAACTGTGTATACAAAGTCCAAGAGGCTTTATTTGATTTTAATATGGTGTTTGCTAACAATCATACCTAAAATTGTGGGATTATCGATCTTCTATTCTCCTTATCTACGCAAGATCCGTACCGCATTGAGACATGTTCAATACACACTAGCTTATCGAGCAAGACAGAGTGGGTTGAAGAATACTATTTAGCGACCTATGCTCCATTGGGGGTAACAAGAGTAAGTACGTAAGTATTCAGTAATTCATTAAGTTGTGTAGCTTTGAATTAAAACAATCAAAACTTCCTGCAGTAAGTTGGAGGATAAGGTTACTAGAAATGAAAAAAGAATTCCTAAGGTTTTACTATTCATGTAAATATTAAGTACCGAACTTCATCCTACTTTGTAATCAAGGCTAATTTTATGGTTGGATGACCAAACTTTTTATAAATGGTCGATGAAGTGACGATTAGGTAGGTGGTGCGCGCTACTTATAAGTAGTATATGACGCGAGTACAAACGTAATGTCCGGTAGCAGAAGATGGGGGAAGATCAAGATAGGAAGAGCGGCAACACAATGGGATTTGTATGAAACGTATGAACAGTGAAATGTCAGAGAATGAATTGATGTTTTGCAACAGGAACAGTCCAGTTCGTTATGATGGATTGATATTTTGGAAATTAACGATTTACGATATGGTTTTCCTATTTTACCAATTAACTCTGTAATTTGAGATAGTTACAATTCGTTTGCCTTCACTTATGTTCTCCTTCACTACAGGTCTTGTAATATTCTAATCAAAACACTACAACAATTTGAGTTGATTATAAACGTGTTTTCTAAAGGAAATCTATATTCTCATAAGTAGCTCAAACATATTTTACTTATTAGGAGAGTATTAAGTGCAGTGCTTCCAGGTTTCTAATGCTCGTCAAACAATGATTGATTGATGATTTCAAATGTGTAAAAACACTAATCTTCATAGCTCTAATTGAAAATATCGTAAAATGTGCTCAATAGTGACTAGCTTAGTGAGGAAATTCTCAGAGTTCTAGTGAGATGACGGGATCAGCGGAGTGCAAACTTGTCAGGTGTAGGCAGTAACTATCAAAGACAAATAGATGAGGTCGCGCATACATCCCTAGATCAATCAGAGTTAGACATTAACACCGTTGGATGCCGGCTCAATGGTCCAAAAGTTAGGTGTTCGTGCACGATAACGAAAGTTCCGGGATCAAACCCAGCCAGGCGCAGGAGTCGTGGATGCGCGCGGCCGATGAGTCCCATACCAGGACGAAACGCCCGTGTTTCAATGCTTCCATGTTTCTAATGATGTGGTCTAACAATGATTGATTTATTTATGATTTCAAACGTGTTAAGTTCATTTGTAAGATGTATGGTGTTTCTGAAAAAAAGTGATTATAATTGATTTGTAAATCTATAAATGAACATTTCCAATTTCAATACACTAGATTGAAGTCGATTCGTTGTGTTCGGCCTTGATTCAATAGCGATTGTGAGAATATGATGCATTCAGTAATCGATTGCATACTTCATAATACAAATTTTAATCGTATTCACCAGATAAACGACTGGTTAATGCCAGAATCTAGATTATAATTATGCATTTTCTTGTTCATGAAAATAATAATGCAGGGCACAATCTTACTAACTTACTTACTTACGCCGCTCACCAGTTTTCTCCAACCAACTCTTTCCTGGGTTCCCCTCTCCAGTTCTGTCCAATGTTTGTTCATTCCTCTCATATCTTTGTCTATTTCTCGGCGTAATGTATTCTTTGGCCATCCTCTTTTCCTTTTGCCTTGAGGGTTCCATGTGAGAGCTGGTCTCGTGACGCAGTCCGGTGCTTTTCGTATTGTGTGTCCTATCCACTTCCACCGCTTATTCCTGATTTCCTCCTCCACTAGAATCTGGTTTGTTCTCTCCCACAGTAGGTTGTTGCTGATGATGTCTTGCCAACGAATCCGAAGTATTTTGCATAGACAACTGGTAATAAACACTTTTACCTTGTGGATGATGGCTTTCGTAGTTCTCCATGTTTCCGCTCCATACAGTATAGAAATTTCCTGACATTTGTATTGAAAATGCTGATTTTGGTTTTGGTTGAAAGTTGTTTGGAGTTCCAAGGACACAATCTACTATACGTAAAATACACGTTATCTCTCCAACTTTTTAAAAGCCTATCTCTCAACTGAACTCCATCAATATACTCTAATGTTATCCCAATAAGGCAGTTTAACTTGAAAAGTTTAAATAAACTGAATATTGGCTACAGTAGTAGTCATTAAACAACTGACTGATATGGTTGTGACATACAAGCGAATGGAAGATTCAGTTCAATAGCCTAATGGAAAAACAGAGTGAAACTAACAATAACTCAGATGATATGAATTAAAAACTCCGATATTTTGAGTATTATTGTTTATTGAAAGAATATTTAACTATTTGAACTGATAGAAACTTTGATTAGTAAAAGAACGAACACTTAACTATGGAAGCTTGCCTCTTGGCGAAATTCTCCCACTTTCGAACAACAAGAAGTATGTTACGCTCATATGATTTTGAGATGGTAGAGAAAATTTGTAGCTCGGGTGTATGACGATTTTGGTGGTGCGTTTTGTTCTCTGAGCTGGATGTTTTGGTTTTGGAGCTTTCTATGTTCTTCTGAATAACATCATCAGCACAAACTTCAGATAGAAGAAGTGAAGTATTTGAATTTCTCGACGATCGACCCTTAGCTTGTTCTGTTAACCTCGATCTTGATTGGTTGCCGTTGACCTTAAATCTGTCGTTCTTCTCAAACGTAGGATAAGTTACCTGAGTTGGCCTCCTCAATGTGCATTTATAAATTCAGCTGCTCCTATGAAGATAGCTATATCAGACATACTACTGGTCAACTGAACCAACGAATGTGTCAACGTCTCTCAGTATGGTTTATAAAGGGCCGGATAAAAATAAAACGCAGTTCTATATCTCGACACAGTTGATTGATAGCGATCATAACCTAAATAAATCTATCGTATAGCTTCATCATATTTCCTCTCCAACATATGGCAGAAGACATAGAAATTCATACATTCTCAATCTCAATTTTATGTGTTCAGAAGAAATTTTTGTGCCACTTCCATACCTTCCGTGACCAGATATAACTTAATAAACGATTTTAAAACTTGTTTTTGTTATCATTAGCATTTTTTTTCTTATCCTGTGCATGTTTGTAATTTCCAGCTTATTTCCATTCATAGTCTCCAGTATCTAATTATGTACTCACTTCTTATTACGTAATTGTCTTAATGTTTTGTAAAGCGTTATTTAAAGTCTATTTATCCACATTTGGTGTACTACTCTTTCCGATGTTGAACTATTGACGAAAACGTTTTTTAGTGTATTTTATTATTATTCTTGCCACTACCAATAAACAGTACACACACCTGTCTTCCATACTATCATCAACTTGTACTTTTGCCTGTGATGTGTGTGTGTAGTGATGTAATCTCTATTTGATTGGGATTATTTTGACGATCTAAATTGAAAACAACACCATAATTGTTCACTTATTGTCTGCGTTGTTCAAATTATTAACAATGGGAGTCTTTAATACATATATATCCCTTTATATACAATATTCTTGAAGGTCACTATTCTGTACCAATCAATTTCTTTTTCCTATCAATGTCACGTGCTCCAATGTTGTTTTTCTTATTGGTTGTTGTCCTGACTATCAGTGTCACTTCAAATGTTGCTTCCTATTGGTCGGTCGACTTAACTGTCAATGTCACAGAATTCGATGCTGTTTCCTATTCGACCAAAATGTATATATACGTATTATCTGTAACGTTTTATGACCAGGATCAGGACCCGGTCCCGGATCCCTAGTCCAGGATCCTGATTCTCATCTGGATTCGGACCTCATACTTTCTGGATGCTTGTAGAATACATGTTCTATTTCATATCAAGTCTTCATATTTTTACTCAAAATGAAGGGTTGGGATAATCGGATTAGAGTAGCATTGTAGTGCCTCCACATATATTCCAGTTCGCTTACATCTAACTGGATTAAGCCCTTTCGATTAATTTATTTAACCAAGGCATTTGTATTGCAACAATTTATATGTACCCGTTCGTTCTTATTATTGTCTGGTTTGTATGAGCTCACATGACGTGTCCCACTTGTCGTTTGACCTTGTCAACTATTCGTTGCTTTTATTCATGTGTGCCTATTTCGCTTGTTGCATGTCTGTCTAATGTTTGTCTGACTATATATTCTTAGTCATGCTCTATCTCTGGAACTTGGCTTAACAGCCTTCTCCAATGCGCTTCGCCTATTCGCTGGCTTCCTTCGCTCATTCTTTCGCTGCTTTTCAACTTCGCTATGTGGTGTGTCCAAAATATAAACGTATTCTTCATACTTCGAATTTGCCTTCTGATTTATAAAAACCGTCAGGCGCTATCCAAACACACAAGTAAATGGACCCCACAGCATGTCGTGTTGCCAGATACTCAATCCTCGCTCTCCTTTTTCCGACTAAGGTAACCTCGGAAAAAATAGTTCAATCATATCAAAATGACTTGTTTACACGTGCAGGCGTAACATTTTTCCAAACGAAACATTATCCTCCTCGGTGCAAGATTCATTTTTAAGGGAATGTTAAATTACAAATTTTTGAAACCATGAATCGATCAATGTTAAACCATTATTAGAAACTTGGAAGCACTGAGAGACGGCCGTTTCGTGGTCCTGGTATGGGACTCATCAGTGGCAGTGCGCATCCACGACTCCTGCACCCCGCAAGAATTCGAACCCAGGACCTTCGGTATTGTTGGCGAACGCCTAACCATCGGACCACTGAGCTGGTATCTAACGATGTTAATGTCTAACTTGATCAGTTCACTGCTTCTAATGGTGGTCTAACATTGATCGATGCATGGTTTCAAATATTTGACAAGATTTAACAATCTTCACAACCCCATAATGCGAATGTTAAATGTTTGAAAAATAAAAAGACCTCATCACTTTTATCTATCTGTGTTTTTAAAAAAAAAGAGATTTCATTCACAATATTCAGTATGGAATAATAATAATAGTAATAGTAATAATAATAATAATAATAATAGTAATAATATTAATCGAAAGTAGTACAACCAAAGACAATAATAAGAAAATATATGCAAAATATATATATGTAAAATTCATTTGTATTGATCCAAAAATTGTTAAAAATATATCAGTTAATTTATATAAATGTTTGTATATATATATATATATTCATAAAGATGGTACATATCACGTGATTAGACAGTAGTGTCCGTCTACTAAAGATGAGAACACTATGAATACAAACCCGAACAAAATGAAACAACAAATGACAAGTAAGTACACAGAGACAACTGAAGTGAGAGAGAATTACTGTTATTATTTTATAATAATAATAGTTTTGACACTAACTACTACTACTACTACTACTACATTTGACTTTCTGCCTCATGTGTATCTTTCATAAACCAAGCCACACAACGAAAAAATACAAACAAACAAATAATTTGATCAGAGTTATTCAAAATATGTGTTCTATAATGTTTGTTACAAATGATCTCTTTTTTTAAAACACACAATCTACTCACAACAAATTACACTAATAATAAGAGAGAAATGTTAGTTAGATTTGTAAAAGTGTTAATTAGTTCGACAGTGTGTGTGTGCGATTGTTGTATAAGATGTTTCATATTGTGTTCATTCATTTGTGTTTGAAATTGTTGAAAAATTTACTTACACACAACCGCTTTATTGCCAAACATCTTTCACTGATAAATCCATGGCATATTTAACCGAAGTTTTATTATAACAATCAAGTAGAAATATGGTCATTTTACGATATAAACTTTCAAGATTTCTACCTTTCAATAGGAAATGATCATCATCTGGATAGATCTGTGTGTAGGTGTGAAGAAAAATGAAGACAAGGAATTTTACAATGAATACGAAAACTATCAGAAGGATAATATCCTAAGAGAGGATTATTATTTTTGCAAGTCTAATTCTATTTATTGGTCACTTCCTATTGTTCAATAAATATTATGGTCGTGCTAACTGATAATGTCACTACTTCAAATGTTGTTTCCTATTGGTCATGCTAACTATCAATCTTACACACTTCAATGTTGTCTCCTATTCAATCTTACTTACTCACTTACGCCTGTTACCCCCAATCGAGCATAGGCCGCACACTAGTTTTCGCCAACCAACTCTGTCCTGAGCTTCTCTTTCCGATTCCCTCCAATGTTTGTTCATTCTTCTCATGTCTTTCTATATTTCTCTGCGTAATGTATTCTTTGGCCTTCATCTTTTCATTTTGCCTTGACGGTTTCATGTGTGGGCTTGTATCGCGAAGCAGTTAGGTGCTTTTCGTAGTGTGTGTCCTATCCACTTCCACTGCTTCTCCCTGATTTCCTCCTCCACTCGAATCTGGTTTGTTCTCTCCCACAGTTCGTTGTTGCTGATGGTGTCTGGCCAACGAATCCGAAGTATTTTGCGAAGACAACTGTTCATAAACACTTGTATCTTCTGGATGATGACTTTTTTAGTTCTCCAAGTTTCCGCTCCATACAGTAGAACTGTCTTCACATTTGTTTTGAAAATGCTGATTTTGGTTTTGGTTGAAAGTTGTTTGGAGTTGCAGATATTTTTTAACTGTAGAAATGCAGACCTTGCTTTGTCAATCCGTGCCCTCACATCTGCATCGGATCCACCTTTCTCGTCGATGATGCTGCCAAGATATGTAAAGGTGTTAACGTCCTACAAGGCATCTCCATCAAGAGTGATTTGGTGGGAGCATATTGTGTTGCATCGGCCTATTTAATCTAACTATATAAATATGCATTATCTGTAAAGCTTATTATTCCTTCCTTTCCTTCTGTACCCGAACCCCATGAACAACTTCATCTAACTGTGTTGTGTTACGTTCTGACATATTGGAGATTTGGGAACAGTATTTAAGGTCGTAAGAGAAATAGCTAAATTTGATCAATCGATAAGATTTCGAATAGTTACGTAGAATATTATAACAGTAAGAGATGCATGTTGTGTTGCATCGTAGAATTTCACTTTTTCCTTAATGTATGTTGAGACCTACTGCTGCACAGGCAGCTGCTACACTGGTTGTCTTTTCTTGCATTTGTTGTTGAGTGTGCGATAGAAGAGCCAGATCATCTGCAAAGTCCAGATCGTCCAGCTGCGTCCTAACTGTCCATTTTATACCGTGCTTCCCTCCAGATGTTGACATCTTCATAATCCAGTCGATCACCAGGAGAAAGAGAAAGGGTGAGAGTAAGCAACCTTGCCTGACACCGGTCTTCAAATGACGTAGAATTTCGTACATATGTGCATCAGTTCACGTCGCCATACAACACATTAGCACAGGGACGCAATTTTCTATTGTGATCCCATAATGGCAGAGATTGAAGAAGTATTAGCCATAATGGCGAAGAATAAGTTTCGAAGAAATTATCCAAGAAGTAGAATTCAGTGAAATAAATTTAAAAAGAGAAAGATGAAGGTTATGAGGAATTCAGAAGATTATCATATGGGAGAACACAAAGCGTGGATGCACCTGCACCACTACAAAGGATTTTGAGCCATGTCGTCCAAGGTCTCGAACCAATGGTTACTATCGTCTTGCGGACCTCAACCAAGTAGTATCCAGTTTTCAATGACTTCATGGATTTGTGTCATGTTTTGGTTCACCAGCCCGCACAGCTTTCTTTCAACCTACTCGTACATCAGAAAACATCGCTCGTCAAGGCAGTCGGCAGTTGGGCATACGTCGTAACACATGTCTTATATATTAGAAAAATCAAAGCGAAAAATCGAATAAGATGTATGATATATATATGTAGAATTACTTACCATTAAATCAATATCTACACCGGCAGCAATCAATTCTTTGATCAATTTAGCAGAATTGATCAAATGAACATTGTCTATTTGAATCACAAAAACAAAAAACAACCAAGAAACGACGAGATAATAAATAGAAGATACTGTGGTGTGCGCTACTTATAAGTAGTATATGACGTGAGTGTAAACGTAATGTCTGGCAGCAGAAGATGAGGGAAGATCAACAAGAAAGGATGAGTGGGAACACAATGGAATTTGTATGAAACGCATGAATAGTGAAATGTCAGACAATGGATTGATGATGGATTGAAGATTTGCAAATTAACCGTTTACAATATGGTTTTCCTATTTTACTGAGTCACTCTGTAATTTTCGTTAAATACAATTTTCGGTCGCCCTCACCTGTGTTCTCCTTCACTACAATACTACACTGATTAACTACTACTCAGTATTATTACTGTAGTTCTGTAGTTTATACCACGGATTAATCTTCGGCTGGACAACGATTGTAAAAATCAACGAGCATTGGATAATCAGCGTTTGCGTCCCAGTATGGAATTCCTTGTCAGTGAGCATCTCTCTATAGTTCTACCGAGGCATTTCGGTTTCTTAGTAAGCCTTTTAATCTTCAAATCATTTAGTTGGGATACAATATTTTGGCAGCATGTTCTATTACAGTCAATTCACGATATTTAGGCAACAAGTTTTGATTTTTAGTGATGAGAACTCTCTCTCTCTCTCTGTCAATCAATATAGTTAGACTCGGCTGGTTATATGCTGCTATCAACTAGAAAAGTTGAGAGGGAACCACTCCAAACCCTTTACAATCGATTATAGTGTGCTAAATAGATTCACGTTTCCATAGTGCCACTGTAGTAAAGGAGAACACAGATGAGGGCAACCAAATTGTTAATTGATGAAATAGGAAAACCATATCGTAAATCGTTCATTTGCAAATTATCAATCCATCATATCGAACTGGACTGTTCCTGTTGCAAAGCATCAATCCATTGTATGACATTTCACTTATTCATGCGTTTCATACAAATTCCATTGTGTTCTTCTAACTCTTCCTTTCTTAATCTTCCCCCATCTTCTGCTACCAGACGTTACGTCTTCACTCGCGTCATATACTACTTATAAATAGCTCGCACCACACCACTACTGGTTTGAGCGGTTTGTTCAAGGGTTAAACGGAAAGTATTTAAACTGAGATAATTTTGCGCATGTTGGAGTATCATTTCAAATGGTGTACAGGCGAATGTTCTACCTAGGATCTCGGTCAGTTTAACCGTTAAAACTGGACCACCATCCTTAAACATCTCAGGGGTAAGCCTATCGGGACCTGCCACTCTACCTTAGTTGTCTACTATTGCCGATCGCCGCTGCCTTTTCCATCGCTTTTGCTTTCGCCACCCACCACTGTTCACGGTCGTTACGTAGGCTTTTTATAAGTCTGCGCCTAAGCTGACTACGCTCTTCATCATGTTCAGAGTCAGGTGGGATGCGTTTTCGAGCATCCATCAGTTCGGTGGATGCGACTGAAATCCACTGCTTCATCTTAGCCTTATGGTTTACCTTGCTAGCAGATACCATTGCTGTTTCCACAGCCTTCTTGATATGATTCCAACCTGCTTCAGGATGAGAATCACTTGCATGGCCGCCTAACTGTTTTTCTAGTTCCTCCTGAAATATTTTCTTAGCTTGATTATCATCAAGTAAAGCCCTAAGAGGCTTCCTTACCTTGTCTTTCCTACGTCCAGCAAGCCTCAAACAAATACGTGCTTGCACTAGGGCATGATCTGAATCTAAACATGTGCCCCAGAACGAGCGACAGTCCTCCATCGAACCCCTCCATCGGTGGCTGATGGCGATATGATCTAGTTGTGTCCAACGTTGAGACGACTTCGGGGGTCGCCAGGTCAAAAGGTGTTTTTCCTTATGCTTAAAATTAGTGTTTGCTAGAAATAGGCGGTTATCTGAGCACAGTTGCAACAGACGGTCGCCATTGTCCGTTCTTTGAGCCGCGAGACCGTAACATCCACCTAGGTGTCTTTCATTTTCACTTAGTCTACCTACTTGTGCATTGAAGTCACCAGCCATTATAACTATATCAGAGCGCTTAACTTTTTGGAGGAGGTCCGAAAGCTTTCTGTAGAACTCATCTTTTACATCATCTGGGCTGCAGTCAGTGGGGGCGTAGGCTGATATGACGAAGAGGCAACGGCGATTGTCCCTATCTTTCCGAGTCCTTACTGTCCCGTTTAGTCGGACGGCGCACAAGCGACTATCTACAGGGATCCAGTCAAGGAGAGATTGTTCTGCCCTACGACTCAATGCTATACCTACATCGGCGAGGCCCCTAGAAGCAGCATCAGGGCTGCCGGATACACGAAGGGTAAATCGAGCTGCTTCTTTACCTTGATATGGTGAGGTCAAATGAGTGATGCTACTCGGATCCTGTATGCGCGTTTCCGAGACGCAGCACACATCGATGGCACGAGATTCTAAAGTCCTAGCTAATGATGCCTGTTGCCCTATTTGACACAATGTCCGTACATTGAATGCTCCAACATGTAGTTTGGAACGGGGTTTAAGGAGACCAGGAACGACGTTTCGCAAACTCGTATCGTCTGCATTAGCTGTGCACTGTGATAAATGAATGTGAGAAGAGTTAGTTGTGGAGATAAGAGAGGTATTAGGGAAAGTAGAAAGGATTTGATTTTGAACAATTTGGTCTCGTGTGCTGTTGCGGGTATGAGGGCGGTTATCACTTCCCGGCTGCCCACACCGTGGAAGGTTGTTTCTTGACGAACCTGAAAAGAAAGATGGATTAGTGTTGGTGCGTGACCGCAGAGTCCAAGGGACAACTGCTTGAGGCCGGTCACGCACGGCCTTTTTATGAAATGTTTTTTGAGGATTAGCTCCGTTCTTAAAGGCCCTTAGTGGGCACCCTTACCGACGGAGACGGAAATCCGTGAGGTAGGGGAGGTGTGACATTTTTAGGTTCGACCTTTTCTAACCCTTCCTTCCTTGTGAGAAGGCAGCATCGCTGCAGATGCTGGTTGTCCGAGGGAAACACCTTACTGCTGTCACACCCCCCTGCAGTCAGCAGTACGACTTCGCCCTCAGACCTTGGGTAGCTGCTTTTAGTCTCATCGTTCTCCAATCGACCAGCCTGGCATGGTAGGACCTGCAGGAACATGTGTTCCAGCCAGTATAGCTCGGTTGGGTGATCACGATAGGCAAGCCCGACCACCACGTCAAGGTAGCAGCTTCGGTCGGGAATTGACCAAGTAAATCACTTAACTTTTATAGTCGAACATGAAGCTGTAAAATGCCAGTACGAAAATGAAAAAAAATACATATTACTAACTAGATAGTACGGTTTGATTGCATCTAGCAAACTTTATACATTGGGGAAATAATTTTCATTATTTAATGTAAATAATGTCAGCTGGATGAAAAATCGAGGATCAGTTACATAGATGTTTGATTGCAATTTAGAACTCTCTTACAGTTAAACTACATGGGATGACACGCAAACGTTACTTGTAATATATATATATATATATATATATATATATATATATATATATATATATATATATATATGGACGTTAAGCGTACATTTTAAGAGCAGTTCCTTCTTGAGTTGACCGGAGGTGTCTACTCAAACGAAGGATACGTTGCATGAGCTGACCTACTCAGTGTGACCCGACCGTAGCTGCTACCTTGATGTGGCGGTCGGGCTTGACTATCGTGATGACTCAACCGAGCTATGCTTGCTAGAACATATGTTCCCGAAGGTTCTACCATGTCAGGGTGGTCGATTGTAGAGCGATGAAACTAAAAGCAGCTACCCAAGGTACGAGGGTGTAGTCGTACTGCTGACTGACTGTGGAGGGATGTGACAGCAGTAAGGTGTTTCCCTTGGACAACCAGCATCTGCAGCGATGCTGCCTTCTCACAAGGAAGAAAGGAAGGGTTAGAAAAGGTCGACCCTAAAACTGTTACACCTCACCCTATCTCACGGATTCCCGTCTCCGTCGGTGAGGGTGCCCACTAAGGGCCTTCCAGAGCGGAGCTAATACTCAAAAATCCTTTCATAAACAGGCCGAGCATGACCGGCCTCAACCAGTTGTCCCTTGGATTCTACGGTCACGCTCCCATGTCTCCAAGACCAACACCAATCCATCTTTCTTTTCAGGTTCGTCAAGAAACAACCTTCCACTGTGTGGGCAGCCGGGAAGTGATAACCGCCCCCTCATACCCGTAACAGCACGAGAGATCAAATCCTTCCTACACCTTCACTCAGTGTGCATCTATAAATTCAGCTGCTCCTATGAAGACAGCTATATCAGACATACTACTGGTCAACTAAACCAACGAATGTGTCAACGTCTCTCAGTATGGTTTTTAAAAAGGGCCGGATAAAAATAATACGCAGTTCCAAATCTCGACACATTTGATTGATAGCTATCATAACGTAGATAAATCTATCCCTTGCCTTCATCATATTTCTTAACGGAGTTTGATTGCCTCTTCAACCATCACATGGCAGAAGACATAGAAATTCGTACATACTCAATCCCAATTTCAGGTGTTCACAAGAAATTTTTGTGCCACCTCTATGCCTTCCATGACCAGATATAACTTAATAAACGATTTTAAAACTTGTTTTGTTATCAATAGCATTATTTTCATATCCTGTGCATGTTTGTCATTTCCAGCTTATTTCCATTCATAGTCTCCAGTATCTAATTATGTACTCACTTCTTATTACGTAAAATTGTCTTAATGTTTTGTAAAGAATCATTTAAAGTCTATTTATCCACATTTGATCTACTACTCTCTCCGATGTTGAACTATTGACGAAAACTTGTATTGTTATTGTATTTTATTATTATTCTTTCCACTACCAATAAACAGTACACACACCTGTCTTCCATACTATCATCAACTTGTACTTTTGTCTATGATGTGTGTGTAGTGATGTAATCTCTATTTGATTGGGATTATTTTGACGATCTAAATTGAAAACAACACCATAATTGTTCACTTATTGTCTGCGTTGTTCAAATTATTAACAATGGGAGTCTTTAATATATATATATACGTATATATACAATATTCTTGAAGGTCACTATTCTATACCAATCAATTTCTTTTTTCTATCAATGTCACGTGTTCGAAAATGTTGTTTCTTATTGGTTGTTGTCCTGACTATCAATGTCACTTCAAATGTTGCTTCCTGTTGGTCGTCTTAATTGTCAATGTCACAGACATCGATGGTGTTTCCTATTCGACCAAAATGTATAAATACGCATGATCTGTAACGTTTTATGACCAGGATCCGGATACCTAGTCTGGGATCCTGATTCTCTTCTGGATTCGGACGTCGTACTTTCTGAATGCTTGTAGAATACAATATATAGTTCGCTTACATTTAATTTGATTAAGCCCTTTCGATTAATTTATTTAACCAAGCCATTTGTGTATTGCAACAATTTATATGTACTATTCGTTCTTATTATTAATTTCTGGTTTGTATGAGCTCACGTGACGTTTCCCACTTGTCATTTGACCTTGACAACTATTCGTCGCTTTTATTCATGTGTGCCTATTTCGCTTATCGCATGTCTGTCTTATATTCGTCCGCCGATATATTCTTAGTCACTCTCTATCTCTTTCACTTGGCTCATTAGCCTTCTCCAATGCACTTCACCTGTTCGTTCGCTTCCTTCTATCATTCTTTCGCTGCTTATCAACTTCCCTATGTGGTATATCCAAAATATAAACGTTTTTCATACTTCGAATTCGCCTTCTGATTTATATGTACCGTCAGGTGCTATCCAAACACGTAAGTAAATGGACCACACAGCATGTCGTATCACCGGATCCTCAATCCTCACTCTCCTTTTACCGACTAAGGTAAACTCGGAAAAAATAGTTCAAGCATATCAAAATGACGTGTTTACGCACAGGGGCGTAACATTTTCCCAAACGAAACATTATCCTCTCACTACTAGATTCATTCTTAAAAGGAATGTTAAATTACAAATTTTTGAAACCATGAGTTGATCAATGTTAAACCATTATTAGAAACTTGGAAGAAGCACTGGACGGCCGTTTCGTGGTCCTGGTATGGGACTCATCAGTGGCAGTGCGCATCCACGACTCCTGCACCCCGCAAAAATTCGAACCCAGGACCTTCGGACCATCGGACCACTGAGCCGGTATCCAACGGTGTTAATTTCTAACTTGATCAATTCACTGCTTCTAATGGTGTGGTCTAACATTGATCGATTCATGGTTTCAAAGATTTGACAAGATTTAACAATCTTCACAACCCCGTAATGCGAATGTTAAATGTTTGAAAAATAAAAAGACCTCATCACTTTTATCTATCTGTGTTTTTTAAAAAAGAGAAATTTCATTCACAATACTTAGTATGGAATAATAATAATAGTAATAGTAATAATAATAATAATAATAGTAATAATATTAATCGAAAGTAGTACAACCAAAGACAATAATAAGAAAATATATGCAAAATATATGTATGCAAAATTCATTTGTATTGATCCAAAAATTGTTAAAAATATATCAGCTAATTTATATAAATGTTTATATATATATATATATATATATATATATATATATATATATATATATATATATATATGTATTCATAAAGATGGTACATATCACGTGATTAGACAGTAGTGTCCGTCTACTAAAGATGAGAACACTATGAATACAAACCCGAACAAAATGAAACAACAAATGACAAGTAAGTACACAGAGACAATGAAGTGAGAGAGAATTACTGCTAATATTTTATAATAATAATAGTATTGACGCTAACTACTACTACTACTACATTTGACTTTCTGCCTCATGTGTATCTCTCATAAACCAAGCCACACAACGAAAAAATACAAACAAACAAATAATTTGATCAGAGTTATTCAAAATATGTGTTCTATAATGTTTGTTACAAATGATCTCTTTTTTTAAAACACACAATCTACTAACAACAAATAACACTACAAATAGAAGAGATGTTAGATTTGTAATGAGTTAATTAGTTCGACAGTGTGTGTGATTGTTGTATAAGATGTTTCATATTGTGTTCATTCATTTTTGTTTAAAATTGTTGAAAAATTTACTTACACACAACCGCTTTATTGCCAAACATCTTTCACTGATAAATCCATGGCATATTTAACCGAAGTTTTATTATAACAATCAAGTAGAAATATGGTCATTTTACGATATAAACTTTCAAGATTTCTACCTTTCAATAGGAAATGATCATCATCTGGATAGATCTACAAGTGTGTGTGTAGGTGTGAAGAAAAACGAAAAAAAATGTAGAGAAATCAACACGTTTTTTTTCAAGGATATATACATCATATTTAGCAATATATCCTAAGGGAGAATTATTATCTTTGGAAGTCTAATTCTATTTATTGGTCACTTCTTACTGGTCAACCTAACTATCAGTGTTACAGACTTTAATGTTGTCTGCTATTCAATATTACTTACTTACGCCCGTTACCCCCAACGGAGCATAGACCGCCCACCAGTTTTCTCCAACCAACTCTCTATGTCCTTCGCTTCCCATTCCAGTTCTGTCCAATGTTTGTTCATTCCTCTCATATCATTCTCTATTTCTCGGAAAAGTAATGTGTTCCTTGACCTTCCATTTTTCCTTTTGCCTTGAGGGTTCCATGTGAGGGATTGTCTCGTGACGCAGTTAGGTGCTTTCCGCAATGTGTGTCCTATCCACTTCCAACACTTCTTCCTGATTTCCTCCTCCACTGGAATCTGGTTTGTTCTCTCCCATTGTAAGTTGTTGCTGATAGTATCTGGCCGGCGAATCCGAAGTATTTTGTGTAGACAACTGTTAATAAATACTTGTATCTTCTGGATGATGGCTTAAGAAGTTCTCGAAGTTTCCGTTCCGTACAGTAGAAGTGTCTTGACATTTGTATTGAAAATCGTGACTTTGGTTTTGTTTGAAAGTTATTTGGAGTTGCAGATATTTTTCAACTGTAGAAATGCAGCCCTTGCTTTGCCAATCTGCGCCCTCACATCTGCATCGGATCCCCCTTTCTCGTCGATGATGCTGCCCAGATATGTAGAGTTGTTAATGTCCTCCAAGGCATCTCCATCAAGATTGATTTGGTTGGTGCATGTTGTGTTGCATCGGCCTATTCAATCTAACTGTATAAATATGGATTATCTGTAAAGCTTATTATTCTTTCCTTCCTTTCTTTCTGTACTCGACCCCATGAACAACTTCATCTGACGGTGTTATGTTCAGATATATATTGGAGATTTGGGAACAGTATTTGGGGTCGTATGAGGAATAGCTGAATTTGATCAATCGGTAAGATTTCGAATAGCTACGTAGAATATTAGAACAGTAAGTGATGCATGTTGTGTTGCATCGGAGAATTCTGCTTTTTCCTTTATCTATGTTGAGACCTACTGCTGCACAGACTGCTGCTACACTGATCGTCTTCTCTAGCATTTGTTGTTGCGAGTGCGACAGAAGAGCCAGATCATCTGTGAAGTCCAGATCGTCCAGCTGCGTCCTAGCTGTCCAATGAATACCGTGCTTACCTCCAGATGTCGACGTCTTCATAATCCAGTGGATGGATGACCAGGAGAAAGAGAAAGGGTGAGGTTGAGCAACCTTGCCTCACACCGGTCTTCACATCGAACGAGTCTGTCACCTGACCTCCGTGCACGATTTTGCAGTTGAATCCATCATAAGAATTCCGTATTATGTTAACTATTTTCTCAGGCACACCGTAGTGTCGAAGAAGCCTCCACAGTGTTTTCCTATCCACGCTATCGAATGCCTTCTCGTAGTCGATGAAGTTGATGTGGAGTGGTGAGTTCCATTCAATTGATTGTTCCACAATGATCCGTAATGTAGCAATTTGGTCAGTACACGATTGATCCTTATGAAATCCAGCCTGTTGATCTCGAAGTTGGGCGTCTACGAAGTCCTTCATTCTGTTTAACAATACCCTGTTGAAGACTTTGCCTGGTATTGAAAGAAGAGTGATGCCTCTGTAGTTCTCACACTTGCTGAGATCGCCTTTCTTTGGTATTTTGATCAGGTATCCTTCTTTCCAATCTGATGGTACTTGTTCGTCATCCCAAATCTTCTTGAAGAGGATGTGAAATATTTTCGCAGTTGCTTCTACATCTGCTTTCATTGCCTCTGCTGGAATGTTGTCTGGTCCTGCTGCTTTACCGCTCTTGATTTGTCTGATGGCAAGTAAGTAGGTAAGTAAGTAAGTATGGGATTAGGAAGTCAGTCAGCAGATTCTTCAACGATAAAATGGAGAAAATTAAGTTCCGAGGAAATTATCCAAGAAGTAAAATTCAGTGAAATAAATTTAAAAAAGAAAGAAAAAGTTAATGCGGAATTCAGAAGATTAGCATGCCAGAGAACACAAAGAGTGGTGGATGTATCTGTGCCATTGAAAATGATTTCTTAGGCCTGTCGTTCTAGGTCTCTAACCAACGGTTACTATCGTCTTGCGGACCTTATCCAAGTAGTATCCATATACTGACATGACTCAGTCAGTCAGTCAGTTGCAACGTAGAACTTCGTACGTACGTGCATTGGTTTCAGGTTGCCATACCACATTAGCACACAGACGAAAATGTCAAATCAAATCTCATAGTGATACAGATAGTAGAGGTATTAATGGTAATGAAGAAGACTAGGGTTTGAAGATATTATTCAAGAAGTATAATTCAGTGAGATAAGGTTAGAAAGACAAAGGTAGAGGTGCTGACGATTCCAGAAGATTAGGATTTGAGAGACCATGATGAATGGATGCACTTGCGCCATTGCAAACGGTTTTGAGCCATGTCATTCAAGGTCTCTAACCATTGGTGACTTTCGTCTCGCCGACCCCAACCAGGTAGTCTACATCTACCAACATGACTCAGTCCAGTTGTCAATTACTTCATGGATTTGTGTCATGTTTTGGTTTGCCAGCCCGCACAGCTTTCTTCCAACCTACTCGTACAGCATAAAACATCGCTTGTCGAGGCAGTCGTCGGCAGTTGAGCATACGTCGTAACACATGTCTTATATATTAGAAAAATCAAAGCGAAAAATCGAATAAGATGTATGATATATATATGTAGAATTACTTACCATTAAATCAATATCTACACCGGCAGCAATCAATTCTTTGATCAATTTAGCAGAATTGATCAAATGAACATTGTCTATTTGAATCACAAAAACAAAAAACAACCAAGAAACGACGAGATAATAAATAGAAGATACTGTGGTGTGCGCTACTTATAAGTAGTATATGACGCGAGTAAAAACGTAATGTCTGGCAGCAGAAGATGGGGGAAGATCAAGAAAGGAGAGGAAGAGTGGGAACACAATGGAATTTGTATGAAACGCATGAATGAATAGTGAAATGCCAGACAATGGATTGATGATGGATTGAAGATTTGCAAATTAACTGTTTACGATATGGTTTTCCTATTTTACTGAGTAACTCTGTAATTTTCTGATAAATACAATTCGGTTGCCCTCACCTGTGTTCTCCTTCACTACAATACTACACTGATTAACTACTACTCAGTAATAATTAATGTAGTTCTGTAGCTTATACCACGGATTAATCTCGATTGGACAACGATTTGAAAATCAACGAACATTGGATAATAACTGTTTGCGTCCCAGTATGGAATTCCTTGTCAGTGAGCATATCTCTATGCTTCTACCGAAGCATTTCGGTTTCTCAGTAAGCCTTTTAATCTTCAAATCATTTAGTTGGGATACAATAGTTTGGCTGCATGTTCTATTACAGTCAGTTCACGATATTTAGGCAACAATTTTTGATTTTTAGTAATGAGAAATCTCTCTCGCATTCAACATAGTTAGACGCCGCTATTCATAAGCTATAAACTAGGAAATTTGAGAGGGAACCACTCCAAACCCTTTACAATTGATAATAGTGTGCTAAATAAATTCGCGTTTCCATAGTGCCACTCTAGTGAAGGAGAACACAGGTGAAGGCAACCGAATTGTATGTAACGAAAATTACAGAGTTACTCAGTAAAATAAGAAAACCATATCGTTAATCGTTAATTTGCAAATTATCAATCCATCATATCGAACTGGACTGTTCCTGTTGCAAAACATCAATCCATTGTCACTCTTCATGCGTTTCCTACAAATCCCATTGTGTTCCCGCTCTTCCTTTCTTGATCTCCCCCCATCTTCCGCTGCCAGACAATACGTTGACACTGACGTCATGTACTACTTATAAGTAGCGCGCACCACAGACCTAATTGTCTTTTCATCGACCGTTTAACAAAAAGTTTGGTCATCCAAATATAAAATTAGCCTCAATTACAGAGTACGATGAAATTCGGTACTTAATATTTGCATGAATAATCAAACCTTAGGAATTCTTTTTTCATTTCTAGTAACCTTATCTTTCAAATTACTGCAGGAATTGTTCTTTTTTTTACTTTACATTACGCGTCATATACTACTTATAAGTAGCGCGCACCACACCACTACTGGTTCGAGCGGTTCATTCAAGTGGGTTAAACGGAAAGTATTTAAAGTGAGATAATTTTTCGCATGATAAAGGAGTATCATTTCAAAATGTGAACACCCGAATGTTTCTCTTATAAGATATGAATATTAATCACTGACTAAAAAAGTCAGAGGCGTAATCGAATTTCTAACAATTATCTACTTGTATATTAAAGAAACTGGTGAAAATTCTTTTCTATGCTTTAGACAAGAAAACTACTTTACCAAACCATCACCAAATTGTGTATGTACTGGTAATGCTTTGTATTATCTCATTGTGAGATGGTAGAGAAGATCTGTAGCTCAGGTGGATGATTGTGGTAGTGGTGTTTGGTTCTCTGAGCTGGGTGTTTTGGTACAAACTTTGTTCAAGAGAGTGAAGACACATTGCAGCACATACGAATCACTAAAAAACGAGGAAAAACATCTTATGACTATCTTCCGAAAAACGGCTATCCACGCAACTTCATCAAAAAACATCAACCAAAACCGTCAACATAACCGAAATCAAATACAGGAACCAATAAACGCATCATCCTACCATGCATAAAAGACATATCGGAACATGCGGAACGACAACTGAAACCATTTGGAATAGGTGTGGCACACAAACCAACAGAATCATTTCAATCAATCCTAAGCAGACCAAAAGGCAAAATGATAAAGGAAGAAAAACCAAATATCATCTACAAAATAAATTGCTCAAACTGTGAAAAACACTACATAGGGCAAAGTGGACGTCTGCTTCAGCTTCGGTTACGTGAACACCAATTAGCAGTCAAATGCCACGACAGTTCATCGCTTATATCAATACACACCGGCAATTATGGACACACATTTGATTGGAATAATGTGGAAATACTGGGTAGGGAGAGGACAAAAAACACTAGAGAATTTTTAGAAGCTTGGCACTCAGGTCAATCAATCAGCAATCAACAAACACATCGACATTGACCCAATTTATAAACCAATCAGAAAAATCATAGGTGACATAGGATCAAGAAACAGATCAAAAAGGGGATACAATCAAAACAAAGGAGCAAACAACGACAGGTCAAAAGGCAACAGCAACCAATGAAGATCGAGGTTAGCAGAACAAGCTGCAGGTCAAACGTGGAGAAATTCGAATGCTTCACTTCTATCTGAAGTTTGTGCTAATGATGTTGTTAAGAAGAACAATGAAAGCTCCACAACCAAAACACCCAGCTCAGAGAACCAAACATCACCACCACAATTATCTCATTGTTTATATATTTAGGACTCTTTTCGTGTATTTTCTGTTAGTAAACGTTCGTCCTGAGGGCGCAGTTACATTTTCACTCACAGAAAAATGATCTTGTAAGATTTTTGACGAATGTGACCAGCAACAGAGTTCAAAGAGAATGCGTCACATTCTCTTTGTATATTCAACTACAATATAATATTTGTGTTCACCACTAATTGTCTTATGTATTGATACAGACCTATTATGTAATATCGTCATCATGTGTGCGTTCACACTGTGTTAGCTCTAACTTGAATGATAGTTCAAACACGACAAACCACAGTGCATATTCGACTATCCTGTGAACTATGAGTTCATGTAATCAATTCAATTCTATTCATCTCAGTCAATCTACAAAGACTCAAAGCTGGGGCATCATCGTTAACTTCATTCACCGTAATAATGATCACATTCAGTCACATAATTGTATATAGTATATATATAAATGCCTAACTTGCAATAAAAAATTCAGAATAAACTATACATCGCGAATTACTTACCATCAGCTGTCCCATGAACCAATAAAAATCCTTTAGAGGCCATGTTTTTAGGATTTCTAATGACTGTGCGCTGAAATAATTGGAAATTGAAAAACGAAACAATGAAGAAATGTACAGAAACGAAAACCACCAGTGAAACACATGAAATATATTTGAATCAAATGTGATACAAGCTAATTTATTAGGGTTTGGAACAACGAACCTTTGGAGTTTGTCAATGTGTTAGTTGGCAATTCGAGAAATGTTAGTTTTCCGAAAAGAATACTCTGAGAAATGCCAGTTTATCATTCATAATCTTAAGAACAATTACTACTAGTGTATTGAAGGAGAACACAGGTGAGGGCAAATTTATCGCGAATTACAGAGTTACTCAGTAAAATAGGAAAACCATATCGTAAACGGTTAATTTGCAAATCTTCAATCCATCATCAATTCATTGTCTGACATTTCACTTATTCATGCGTTTCATACAAATTCCATTGTTTTCTCACTCTTCCTTTCTTGATCTTCCCCCATCTTCTACTGCCAGACATTGCGTTTACATTCGCGTGATATACTACTTATAAGTAGCGTGCACCACACTAGTACTGACTAAAATCTTTGGATATATCAAATCTTAAGTAAAGAATTCGTTAATATTCATTCACCTAATGACTATAGAATTCGTTTTCAGGATTTTGATCAGTGTACTTGACAGAGATACTGGCAGGAGGAGAGTACCAACGATATTCTTTTTTACTTCACAAACTAGCAGTTATTGAGAAGACTGAAGCAGGCGAGGAAGCTTGTACTACGCAAATTTACACTCTGACTTAATTAAAAACGAAAACATTACATTGAATTCTCTATTTGCACACCATCTTTGAATCGTGACTTCCAACGATCCATCCTTCTTCCATTCCCGCTGTTGCTTCCTTTCCTTTCTCTGTTGGTACTCCATTTACTTCTTGCTTTTGCTCCATTTGCTTTCCGTTTTCCTCTTCTGACCGTGAGACTTCTTCTTTCACGTCCCTTCTTATACTACTTATATCGTTCGTATAAGTAGCACACATCACAATATGATAGGGAATATTACACATAATATTTAGGCAATATTTTCGCAATTACCTCAAGTTTAGTAAACCTGTTATTCGCTTCATTTAAATGAACAATGTCACAAACAAGTGAAATTCTGTCGAAATAGCAATATAAGCCAAATTTGAAAACCCACAATAAACAAAGTATCCATTCAGCTTAGTTTGTAATGATTCTTACGATGTCTTCCTAGACCTTTCCTATCCGTAAATCTTCTGTTGATTTAAGGACAAAGGATAACTGATCATATTGTTAAACATGAAGAAATACTACATAACACATTTGAATCGTTAGTGCCGTAAATATATCACTTTATTAAACTAAACCTCTGACCACCGCATCAAAAAGTCCTGATATATTGTAATTTTATTATATTTATTCTGACAAACAATTGAAACTTCATCAGTTTAGGTGGTTAGGACATGTGTTACGAATGCCGAACCTCCGACTGCCTCAACGAGCTATGTTTTTTGGTGCAGGAATAAATTGGAAAAAAGCTATGGGCGGTCAAACCAAAACATCGCACAAATCCATGAAGTCACTGACAAGTGGACTGACTCATGTTGGTAGATGTAGCCTGCTTAATTGAGGTCCGCGAGACGAAATTCAGTGACGGTTAGAGACCTTCAATGAGATGACTCAAAATCGTTTGCAATGGCGTAGCTGCATCCACTCTCTGGGTTGTCTCAAATTCTAACCTAATGAATTCTTCATCATCTCTATCTTTCTCTTTTTCTAACTTTATCTCACTGAATTATACCCTAGTCTTCTGCATTACTGCTAATACTTCTACTACTATCGCTACTACCATGGTGTTTGAACTGACAGTTGCGTCTCGGTGCTAATAATGTGGTATGGCAACATGAACTGATGTACGTAAGTATGAAGTTCTGTGTTCGATCCGTCTATTTGTCTGTCTGACGAACAATTAACATAGTTTTTCCATTGCAGGGTTGTTGTGAAGATTGTTAAGTTTTATTTGTAACCATGAATCGATCAATGTTAGAACACCATTAGAAACCTGGAAGAAGCATTGGACGGCCGTTTCGTCTTGGTATGGGACTCATCAGCAGTGCGCATCCACGAACCCAGGATCTTCGGTATTGTGCGCTTGGTGAGGAATCTTCTCCGAGTTCTAGTGAGAACTCGTGACCAGTGAAGCTCGGATGTATACAGGATATGAGGTTGCGCAACTCCGTGAATTTGATCAAGTTAGACATTAACACCGTTAGATACCGGATCAGTGGTCTAACGGTTAGGGCGTTCGCGCACAATACCGAAGGTCCTGGATTCGAATCCTGCGGGGTGCAAGAGTCGTGGATGCGCACTGCCACCGATGAGTCCCATACCAGGACGAAACAGCCGTCCAGTGCTTCCAGGTTTCTAATGGTGGTCTAACATTGATCGATTCATGGTTACAAATAAAACTTAACAATCTTCATAACAACCCCGCAATGCAATTACATGTGTCCACTAATGACTAGCTTGGTGAGGAATCTTCTCCGAGTTCTAGTGGGAAGTCGTGACCAGTGAAGTTCAAACGTGGTTATTCGTTAAAATCATCAACCAATCAATAAATAAATACAAATTATTCAACTGAAGAAATCATTAGTTTATTTTTAATGAATTTGAAAAATCAATCAACTTACACTATATGCATCTGGATCATCAATAAATCGTCCTAAATATCGTTCAGAATATGCAGTAGCTATAGAAAATATACCAAGACAGTGTGCATAAATAAGTAAAATTTAAAAAAAAACAACTATTGAAATTTTAGGAATTAGTACTTCTACATAAGTTGATAACTGTGTAATGCCTCCACATATATTCCATCCAGTTCGCTTACATCGAACAACTACCAAAGCCATCATCCAGGAGATACAGGTGTTTATTAACAGCTGTCTACGCAAAAGACTTCGGATTCATTGACCAGACACCATCAGCAACAACTTACTGTGGGAGAAAACAAACCAGATGCCAGTGGAGGAGGAAATCATGAAGTGGTTAGGACATACACTACGAAAAGCACCTAACTGCGTCACGAGACAAGCCCTTACATGAAACCCTCAAGGCAAAAGGTAAAGAGGAAGGTCAAGGAACACACACATTAGGCCGAGAAATAGAGAATGATATGAGAGGAATGAACAAACACTGGACAGAACTGGAGAGGGAAGGCCAGGACAGAGTTGGTTTGAGGAAACTGGTGTGCGGTCTATGCTCGATCGGGGGTAACAGGCGTAAGTAAGTAAGTATGTCAATGACGAACTTAAGTAAAAATAGGAAAAGCCTACTACCCGATTCATTGATCAAGTTCTGATGATACTTCGCTTTAAAGTTAGTGTACTTATTTGGTTCATTTTTCGATGACACTCTCAGAAGCTAAACTACTGAATAACAATGCACTGTTTTATCCCTATTTGTTTTATGAAGTTACCATAATGATTGTTAATTTATATGACCGTCAAAAAGCTGTTTTCTTACATAACCATACTGTTACAATTCAACAAATAAATACTTGATATTCTATAGTAAAACATTCTGAAAAGTGTAAGAGTAAAAATTTTCATAGCCTTAAAAAAAATACCTAATAATCATTATACTGCTACTTACAGTAATATCTGAAATCACTGACTGGAGCAACGGATATACCACATCGAATCCATTGATTTTCAGGTCTGGTTAGTAAATGACTAACTGTGAATCCACCGTAAGACTATAATTTTTATCGGGAGAAAAATTATTAATGTGAATTTTACTGACAAACAAGCATATTTATTTATTCGAACAAGAAATACAAATGATGCATTTTTGTGTCTAGATCAAGTTGTATAGTGGTACGAGCTACTTATAAGTAGTATATGATGTGCGTGTCAACGTAATTTCTGGCAGCAGAAGATGGGGGAGGAAGATCAAGAAAGGAAGAGTTAGAACACAATGGAATTTGTATGAAACGCATGAATAGTGACAATGGATTGATGTTTTGCAACAGGAACAGTCCAGTTTGATAGGATGAACTGATATTTTGCAAATTAACGATTTACGATATGGTTTTTCATATTTTACTGAGTAACAACTCTGTAATTTTCGTTAAATACAATTCGGTAGCCCCACCTGTGTTCTCGTTCACTACAGTATTCATTCAAAATTAACCATTTTTTGCAGGTGATGTACTTTTCAAGTAACTTGGTACATATCTAGTATAGCTTGACCATCTTGTAAATGCTACCATCTAATCTGATTTCACAACCTATTATAACTGGACCTTTTTTTGTAGCAACTGTGTCTAACACAAGTTCATTGGATAAATTTTTGCTAAGTGATTAATCTATTTTCGAAAACTCTAAGCTATATTTAATAAAAACATTGATTGATTGTTAGGAAAATTGATTCACTGTTTTTAAATGTGTTAATGCTGTAGGTTCTACCATGCCAGGCAGGTCGATTGGAGAGCGATAAGACTAAAAGCAGCTACTCACGGTCTGAGGGTGAAGTCGTACTGCTGACTAACTGTGGAGGGGTGTGACAGCAGTAAGGTGTTTCCCTCGGACAACCAGTATCTTCAGCTATGCTGCCTTCTCACAAGGAAGGAAGGGTTAGAAAAGGTCGACCCTAAAAATGTCACACCTCCCCTAACTCACGGATTTCCGTCTCCGTCGGTAAGGGTGCCCACCAAGGGCTTTCAAGAGCGGAGCTGATACTCAAAAAACCCTTCATAAAAAGGCCGTGCGTTAACGGCCTCAAGCGGTTGTCCCTTGGACTCTGCGGTCACGCACCCAGGTCTCCAAGACCAACGCTAATATACCTTCCTTTTCAGGTTCCTCAAGAAACAACCTTCCACAGTGTGGGCAGCCGGGAAGTGACAACCGCCCTCATACCCGTACCAGCACATGAGACCGAATTGGTCAAAATCAAATCCTTCCTACACCCTCTAGTACCTCTCTTATCTAAAATCGACGTACATGAGAGAAGCTATTACATACTATGATATTTTCTTATCATATTAACTAGAAATTCAACCCCTTCCATAAATAATACGTATATCTGTTACATGACTGATGAACTGAGATTCAGTCACAATAGGTATTTGTATGTGGTATCTCTATTGATTAGAAATATAATCACCAAATTCAAACGCCATAAATCATGTAAACAAGATGTTTCTTTGGCCTGTAACCGATATATTATTGTGAGTTGCTTCTTCACATTAGCGAAAGTAACCTTTACTCTGATAGATTGAATGGTTTATTTGGTCACATTTATACCGTACACATGACTCCATAATATAATGCCTTACAGACAGTAATAATTCCTTTTCTTTTCAATGACTGATTGAAATATGTACGATCATCATCAAATCACTTACCCATCCATAAGCGCCAACTTGACTTTCGTTTATAAAATGATAACGTCGAATTAGAGCTCTGAATGATAAAAGTATAATTAATATAAGAGGATAATATGAGCATATCTATGTCGAGTAGGCATTTATTTAGAAGAAAAAAAACACTATTTCTAGTCAAATTTAAGTCCGAGTGTTACACACGCACGTCAACATGTTAACTGTTATGCTTGAACTATTTATTACGAGTTCACCTTAGTCGGTAAATGACAGCGAGACAATGATACAGTGACTCGATAGGCTACTACACTAATCCGAGTGTCCCAAATTCCCATTGAATAGAAGAAGAAGACTTGATACGAAGTAGAACCTGTATTCTACAAGCATCCAGAAAGTTTATGACAAATTTTTTCTGTACGCATGAGGGTAGTTTAAATTTACAAATAGCCAAGGCTTCCATAAACGGCAGAATCTGTTTTTGAAAATGTTGGGGATTTTAGATCCCCAGAACTCGTTTGATAAATGCCCCGATTTTGGATTTTACGTTTGCAGGCATGGGCTGATCAGTTGACCTAGAGATTTCATTTCCCACCAGGAAAATCTTTGGCGGTGATTGGCTGCTGTGTATTTTGGTGTGCTATTTTTGTGACTATCCTACTAGGACGTTTCTATGATGGATAAATAAACGAGATTTGTGTGCTTGATTGCATTGTGATTGCTGGATGTTTGTAGAATATACTTTCTACGCTTATTAAGACTTCTCTTTTGTAGTTTGGGATCAAGGTAGCCTACCTAGACGCTGGTAATTGTCTCGTTCGCGTTTATCGACTAGTGTGGTGCGAACTACTTATAAGTAGTATATAACGTGAGTGTCAACGTAAAGTCTGGTAGCATAATATGGGGGGAAGATCAAGAAATGAAGAGTTAGAAAACAATGGAATTTGTATGAAACGCATGAATAGTGACAATGGATTGATGTTTGGCAGCAGGAACAGTCCAGTTCGATATGATGAACTGATCTTTTGCAAATGAACGATTTACGATATGGTTTTCCGATTTTACTGAGTAACTCTGTAATTTTCGTTGAATGCAATTCGGTTTCCCTACCTGTGTTCTCATTCACTACACTAAGATGAACTCGAAAGAGCTTTAAGCGTACCTAGGGATGAGTTTAACAGAAAACGTCTATACAATCTTTTTCAATGCTGTCCATGTGGAATCATGAGTTTAGTCCTTTCACTTATAACCAGTTTAACAATGTAGTAAGTCTTTTCTATGGCTGTTTCTTTTAGTCTCTGTCTAAACACCAAACTGTGCAATTCACCTCCAAATGGTAAAGAGATGCAAACAGTTTCCTTTCCAAAAAATAATTTAAAAAACAGTCTTTTGTCTTAACCAATTTGTGCAACTATTTGTAAACTTTCAGGGAAAATTGTTTGAAATCACTGTTTCAGTCAATAGTCTCAATATTACCTTCAAAAATATTTGTAGTGTATATTCTTTTCGCCGCTATTGAAGAAGCATTTTATCAAGGCTAGCTTGCGCTGCTGTGGATAAAGACTGTGGAAATTAAGGTACTGTTGAGTCCAGGTTGGCTTCGTATTTTGATACCGTTTCGTAAGACCGTATGAATAAAATGCTGAATCTATTAGGGTGTTGGGGATGTTAGATCCCCAGAACTCGCTTCATAAATGCCTTATTTTGGTTTACACGTTTGCCAGCATGGTCTAATCGATTGACCTTGAGATTTCATTTACCACCAGCAAAATCCATGGCTGTGATTGGCTGCTGTGTATTTTGGTGTGCTATTTTCGTAACTATCCCACTAGAACGTTTCTATGTTGTATAAATAAACGAGAGTTGTATGCTTGATTGTACTGTGATTGCTTGGTGTTTGTAGAATATACTTCTACGCCCACAAAGCCTTTTTACTTCAGCCTTGGATTCAAGGTAGCCTACCTGGACGCTGGTAATTGTCTCGTTCGCGTTTATCGACTAAGGTAAACTCGTAATAGCCTCAAGCATACTAAGTGACGAACCCTACATAGGGGGTAACAGTTTGTGAATTTTCCATCAGTCTTCAGTATCCAATAGCTTGAGGCTGTCAAGATTATCTATCAGTTCATAAGTAACGGTGATTGGCCCGTGTTTCACGTTTATCCTGTTAAATGTGTAGTGACTATACTTTTATGAACAGAACGCGATTGGTTTAATAGAATTACTCATTATTATAACCAGTTGTACTAGTGAATGTTCTACTGTACTCTTTGTTTATTCGTACTCTGTATGCTCAAACGTTCAGTTTGTGTTGAGCCATTTTGGTGATGCTGATCGCCGTAACTTCACCCTTTCTTTCTGGCACGATTTTGGTATTCCTTCGATACCACTAAATTGTCGGTAAATATTATTCCCTTGTACGGATTAACTCTTCTTCTTATTTGTTCTTGATTCACGGAGACATTTAATTTAGCGACGGGGAATGCAATTGGTCTATAGTGGTGTCTATAGTCAACCTGAACTCGAGCTACTATAAATTATCAAATGACTACACATTGTGGTAGACAAAAATACTTCATTTTTGAAACCATGAATCGATCAATTTTAGACCACCATTAGACACCTGGAAGCACTGGACGGCCATTTCGTCCTAGTATGGGACTCCTCAGCAGTGCGCATCGACGACTCCTGCACCCCGCAGGATTCGAACCCAGGACCTTCGGTATTGTGTGAGAACGCCCTAACCGTTAGACCCATACCAGGACGAAACGGCCGTCTTTCAATGCTTCCAGGTTTCTAATGGTGGTCTAACATTGATCGATTCATGGTTTCAAAAATGTGTAACTTAACAATCTTCACAACCCGGTTATGCAAAAATACTTCAGTTTGATGTTTGACATTTTGCAATTGTACTCATGTTAAATATTTATTATGAATAATAGTCACAAAGTTTATCACCTTATTATATCAATCAGTCTTACTTGACACTGTCCAATTGATCTTCAATTTCGATTACACCCAACTTTTTATAAATTGATTGTTCAAATACTCTTCCACGACCAGCTGTACCTCGACCATCAACTTGAGCTACAATAACTTTTGCCGTTGCTGATATATATGTTAACCAGTCAATTGTCAAAACTGACGTTACAACTTGTAATGTTGGTCCACCATAACTGTTTAGTTTTATTTACAAGAAGGTTAAAAGATAATACGACTGATTAGGATTATTTTTAATAAAAGAGGAGTCAGAGGTAAATACTGATGTCTAACAAGTTAACTTACCTGTTCAGCGACTAGCTGAATCAATTAAAGTTCGTCACATAATTCGTCAGTTATATTTAGATAAAAACTATTTCATGTACATTATTATTCGT